CTTATGGCATTTAAAAGTCAGTTAAAGTTAGTCCGGATTTTTAGTAACCACCTGTTATATGGAACTATATTATATAATTTCAAAATAATGCCATTTTTCAACTAACTTAACTATTAAAAAACTGTTTTGTTTTCTCTATATATAAAATGACCAAGTGAGTTATTGATGTGGGTTGTGTAAAAGTGTGTATTTTTAATTAATATTTAGCAATTAAAAGTTAGTTTATAAAAAATTCAATTTTAGGACTACATTCATTTGTGAAATTTTATTGAAAATATAACAAACTAACAACTTGATAAATATATAAATAAAAATTAACAATATCTACCAATGCGAAAAATCATGCTAAGGAAGGAAAAATATGAACTTCTACATTTTTAGACCAAAAGTTAATTAGGAAAGATATTTATTATGTTGTTTTAAAAAGTACTTTATTTTTATGTTTGATACTAAGTATTTTGTTAAGATGTGTTTCATTGGGATAGTGACATGAGACATGCAAAGGGCAACAAGATGTTATTGAAACTTAAAGAAATGAAGATAAATTAATTTCATCTTTACATGTAATATTGAATTATTAAATTTAACAATATTTGTGAAAGACAAACTAGAAATTTTTTGAAAATGTTATCTGCATTGCAGAAAGCTTGTGTTCCATTAAACACATATACATTTTTTTTTCAAAACATAACAAAATAAAATTGTGAACAAACTTTGCAAAATTCAAATATTTTTAGAAGTCATGATTAGAAACAGCTTGAATATTATTACTGGGAAGAAACTCTACAAACCTTGTAAACAAAAGATTGCTAGAAGTGATTTTTTAAAAGTAGTATAAAGTCAGGGTAAACAAGATGATGAGGAAGATATCTAAAACTTTAATACCTTCAAAAATCTTTTAAGGCATCAATACATACTTTCAAAAAGAAGGCAAAAAGTTAAACGCATTAACGAAATGGCAAATAACATAACTAGAAAAATTTAAAGTCACCTCAAAGCACTCTAAAAATGTTATGGAAAAAAAAACTTAAAAAAAAAGAGATGAATTCTCTCTGTTTCAAAACAGAGAAAATTCTTTGTTTTGAAAAAACTATTGTTCAACTTCTCATACAGGCACCACCAAGTTTGTTGACAAACACCAAGTTGGTTGATATCAGAAGTAAAAAAAAAACTTAGAACTTACAAAATACTAGGCAAAGATGACTAGATGGATTTTTAATGAAAAATAATTTTTAGCTTTTTCTCTATTTTATAATAGAGAATTTATTGTTTTACATAAAGATGTAGAAAATTATGACTATATCTTTGAAAATCTGAAAAACCTTGTTTCTGTTAATATACCCTTTGTCTTGTTATGAATATGAATAGTCTTTATTCATATTCATAACAAGCCAAAGGGCCATCATAACTCTAAGACTATTTTAATTTTCATTGTTAATTTATTAAAACACAGGAGTAAACATTTTTAAAAGCATATAAAAACATATGCTTGTAGTGTTTTAGTTAAAGGTTGCAAAACTTTGTAATAAATTTTAACAAGTTAACCGCCAGCCACATATATATATATATATATATATATATATATATATATATATATATATATATATATATATATATATATATATACTTATATATATATATATATATATATATATATATATATATATATATATATATATATATATATACATATACATATATATATATATATATATATATATATATATATATATATATATATATATATATATATATATATATATATATATATATATTATATATATATATATATATATATATACATATATACATATATACATATATATATATATATATATATATATATATATATATATATATATATATATATATATTTAAAAATTTGTTATTATTAATTTATCGTAGAAGCCAGCCAAAATCATGACACAATTATACATATTTTGTGATTATTAGAGTTCGCAGGCATATGGTTCAATAGAGTTGTTCGTTTTATGTTTAATTTACTTTTAGTTGTTGTTTAACTCTTTCACTACCGCAAGTCAGTGGGAGCGGCTTTTGAGTATGCTTTACAATTTATCTTGTTTTGTACATAAATTTTCATTCTAGACATATAGAATTTGTTTGTTCTGAAGGTTTAATTAATTCTCTACAAAAACTTTAAATTTAGTTATAAAATAAAACAGCGTTAACACTGCAAAACTTAACTTGTAGAAGTGTTAAGTATTTAGTTAAGTAATTACCAAAGTATTTTGAAGAAAAAATATTATTTTTGGTTTGTTTGGACTAAATGTTTTAATTGTCAATGTACTCAAATTATTTTCTATTCAAATTCTATTCAAATGTAATTCAAAAAATTAGCGGTTGCTACAAAAAGATTTTTGTTTGGCTGATAGCGAACAATTTAATGAGATTCTTTGTTTTTATATTTACATTTTATACACTTTCTTGTATATTTTAGTACAAATACTTGTTTAAACTTTAATTTAGTTTGATTTGAACGGTTATTAGTAAAATAAGTTGTTTAATATTTATTTTCTACTGAGTTCAGTTTATATGTTTTATTCAAGTCACTTGTTTTTTTTTTTCAGTTTATACTTGAAATTAATTTATAGTATAAATTATAACAAAAGCGTATAAATTATATGCTTTTGTAAAATTATTCTTTCAGTATCTAGCTTATATTTAGTTTAAACCACTACATTTACTGTAAATATTCATTATATATTAAATTTTTATTTATTTAATTTTTAATTGCATCATAAACTTTTTTAGGGATTTAGTAAAAAGGTATACAATTAACATGATTTAGTGATTTTGGCAAAAAAATAACATGACATCTTGAAAGAAAAAATTTATACGCTGACGTCATATACCCAAACTGTTATGAATTAAATACGTATGGAATAAATTATCAAGTCTGCAGATTGCAGCTAACATTATACAGACTCCGAGAACCAAAAAAAAATGGAGACGACAAGCTTCAACTAAAACGTGAATTTTAAATTTAATGGTGTGCATTCATTAAATAGTTTTAATCAAAAAAATTTAGCCTAAATGTTTTTTTTTTAACATTTTCTTTAATATAAACACAACTTGTCTCTGCAGTTGGGGATCCCTTTAAGATTTCGGTTCTAGACGGAATTTTGGTTTAAAATGTTACTGAAAATAGATATCATAAAGCTTTATTTAGCATTGCATTGTTATTATCATTTTAAAAAAATACAAAAATTAAACACTAAATTTTTTTGTTTAAATTTATATTTATACTTTGTAATGGTTTTTATCGTTATTATGAAAGATATTAATATAATTAAATATTACAATTAAATAAAAAAACTTTTATCTCATTTTATATAATCTATCAAGTGTAAAATTATCTGTTCAATCAACTCTTTTTAAGTGTTTTTAATTGCATTTATGCACAAATTTGATTGTTCAAAAACAAAAAATGTCCAATTGAACAACTACTTTGTTTAAACAATAATTTTAACACTACAATTGCCTTAAGAGAATTTGTTATTGAAATCGTTAATATTTGTCCAAAGAGCAAATTGTTAATGATTGTCCGAAGAGCAATTTGTTTTATTTAATTTATAACTTTAAAAAACTATATTTATTATTGATTTTTGGTTCCAGTTTTGGTTCCTGTTCTGGTTTGAGTTTATTTTTAATTCTAGTTCGGGTTATGAATAATAAAAATTTTATTTCGGTTCCAACAAAATATCATTTTCGGTCAATCATTAGTCTTAAGAATCACCCTATGGCATACTAAATCAAAGTAAATAAAATGAGATCAATAATATATAGTATAATGTACAAAAATTATGTTTATATAACCAGATAAGGTCTTAGACTATTATAAATATTGTTTAAATAATGTACTTTAATGAAAAAAAAAATTAGTAACTGAATTTTAAATAATTCATTTTAATCTACATTAAAACAAACAATTATAACTGATTTATTACAATACAATTTAAAAAAGATGACAAAAAAAAAAAAAAAAAAAAAGATCAATTTAGTTTCCTAAAATAACTACAAAATTGGTTGTGAAACAATTTTCTACTCAAAATTATGTATAGCAAAGATTATACAAATTAAAACTTATTAAAAAAAAAAAAAAAGATGATAAAAATTAAAACAATTAAAAATTATGCATAACAAATTTAATATCTCCAATATAAACAATGTACATACTATAAAACACAATTAAAGAAATAAAAAATAATATAGTTACCTCATAAGGGGATTCAATATCTTGTAAAAATGAAACAACAGTTGGTACTAAACAAAAGCAAAACATTCGTAAAAATTTGTTCAATTGTCATTCAGAAGCATCTTGTGGGAAAAATGAAGTAAACAAGGATTAACAATAAATCCTAATTTACTTTTAGTCCAGACAAAAATAAAAACCAATGGAAGAGTAGTATAAATTAATCAACTTGTTTCTTCGCGCAGCAGCCTTGTTTGTTAAGGTTCGTATTTCAGAGTTAAGAGAGAAAGAGAAATATGGTATATATATATATATATATATATATATATATATATATATATATATATATATATATATATATATATATATATATATATATATATTATATATATATATATACCATAAAAGCCCCTAATTCCAGTTGTAACCTAATTCCAGATGGTTTTAGTAAAAAGTTTCATAACTTGCTTAATATAATCAATTTATGAAATATTTTTTTAAATTAATAAATGTCTATACTAGACAAATCAAAAAATATAAAAATAAAAAAATAAATTAGCCACCAGCAATAATCAAATTGACACTTAAATCCTATAGAGATAATTATTATTTAACGTGCATAAAGTTAATGCAAAAGTGTTAATTTTTTTACTGTATTATAGAATATGGATAAATTTAAACAAAAAGAAAAGCGAGAGTCAAATCCAGCTAGCTATTCAAGCTATTAATGAAAAAAAAAAGTCATATGTACAAGCTGCTAAATGTTATGTGGCAAAATCTACTTTTTTTGGCAGAACAAAATGACCAAGAAAGATGAGCTGATTCACTGAATCTATTATTGTTGATTTATTAAAGCTTATGAGTGATATAGACTTTGGCTTGAACAGAAAAGTCATGTTTATTGTTGTTGAAAATTATTTGAAAGAATCAAATCAAAATAGTTTATTCAAAGACGGCAAACCGCCTAGAAAATGGTACTCCGGTTTCATGAATAAACATCGTAAAGAAATTTACCCAAGAAAAGTAAGCGGCGTGCAAACTATTAGAGCTGTGACCACACAGCCAGCTATAATTGACAATTAGTTTGAGCAATTTAGCAGCAGCATAAACATAATTTAGGCGATAAGCCAAATAAAATATTCAACTGTGATGAGTGTGGTTTGAAATTTGATCATAGAAAGTCGAAATTAGTTGTAGAAAAGGAACAAAAAATCCTAAAAAGCTAGCAACATCATATGAAAAGCAAATGACGACAATCATGACTTGTTGCAACGCTTTCACAATTATTTACCTCATCAAGTAATTTATAAAGGTCAACCTTTTATGAAAGACTGGTGCAAAGTGTATAAAAATCAATTGTGAAGGCTGACAAATTGACATTTTCAGGCCATGTTTAAGGATCTCATCAAAAATAATGGTATATTTCCACTCGATTGTTCACAAATTTCTTTTAACCAAACTTCCATCTGTACTCTGTTTTACGCTGTCGAAAACAACATTATCGAAAATTTATTTGATTTTCCAACAGTATTCAGTCCATTAGTTTTGGGAAACACTACCAATACACTTAACACACTGTCAAGAGTGTCAAATCCTGAATTTTCACTTCAAAGCTTTGCTACTTTATAAAATGCCGTTCAACAAGAAAGAAAAGATATAAAGGAATCAGTATTTTCAAATCAGAAAAAACAAATCAGTATTAAATATGCATCAAGATCAATTGACACTAACTCTAAATAAAAGAGTTCAAAAAGGTGAAACAATAAAGCGACCAGTTAATCATAATGTGACTTCAGCAGATGCCATAGCTTACGATGAAGCTGAACAAACATAAAAAAAAATAAAAAAAAATTAGATGAACAAGCTGCAAAGAAACCAAATAGAGAGTAAAAAAATGATTATCACTGCTACTTAAAAAGCAGAAAATGCACAGAAAAGAAGGAAAAAAAAAGTTGTTTAACCATGTTTTTACAAAGTCAGTCGGCTAAAACACCAGGTAAAAAAGGTCGAAAGACAAAGAATCAATCAGAAGATCCATATTTACCTCAAACTACAAATAGCATTTAGTAACTGATGATCATCTTTGTTATTCTTGCAAAAGTCATTGAGGAAATATTTTAGATAACCAATGGTCTGCATGTGAGCAATGTTCTAATTGGTCATGCAATGCATGTGTTGTTGATTATCGTCCAACTATGGAATTTATTTGTAACAAATGTGAATTTAATAATATATTTTCTTTTTTAATTAAACAATTCCATTTTTTAATGGATTAAATAAATTATTTTAATGTTAGTATTAATTGTGTGTGTGTTTTTCTATATTTTATATGCATCCGGAATTAGGAACATAGATACCTAATTCCGGATAAAAACAATGCTTTTTAAAAATAAAATTTAAATTTAAATTACAAAAATAAAGTTTTTTTATATCATTTGATTTGACTTGTTATGAAGTTTATTTATTTAAAAATATTATTCCGGAATCTTTTATAATGAGTGAGTTATAATGATATAAGTTCAAAACCATATGGGATTAGGGGGTTTTAAAATATATACAAAATTATTGTTGTTATTTTTATTAATTACCATTGCAAAATAAAACAAAAATAAATAATAGGACATAAGAAAAGTAAAAAACATTGTTTATCTATTAACTAAATTTATTTTGTAAAAGATAACAAACATCTTAGAATTGCCTCTATTATTAGTGGCATAGAGATTTAGCACCAATAACAAATTTACCCTGTCAGATAAACACCAGCTTGCTAGTTAAACTGTACCCCACAATTTATACTTGGTTTAAAATGCATCATCAATACAAGGACATCAATACAAATAATTAAAAATCAACAATACCCTAATTTGACAGTGCCAATAGTTTTGAAGAAATAATATGGTAAAGAAGAGTTGTAAATGCAAAACTTTTTTAAAAACATTATTGTTTTTACTGTTATTGACAACAGTCGGTGCAAAATCAAAGCAAAACATTTGTAAAAATTTTAAATTTCATGTACATTCATTTTACTTATTCACTAAATTCTATTTTAAAATGAAATTGTATAATTATAATAAATCAATAAGTCTGTTATAATACTATTTATAAATTATAAATTTAAATAAAATATAAATTATAATACTATTTATATACTCGCTAATCTGACCCATAAAAAAATGATCTTCTTTGTAAGTCTATTCCACACTGACCTTTTCTATGCTTTTTCCTTATATATATATATATATATATATATATATATATATATATATATATATATATATATATATATATATATATATATATATATATATATATATATATATATATATATATATATATATATATATAAATTTTTTCAATTTTGCTATATTTATAGCAATATTTATAACAAAATAAAACGCTAAGGGATCGTCAACAAACTACACAGCGCTAAATTTATTTTTAAAAAAGAAGGAAATCTTAAGTTCTTTTAGGTGGTGATTTTCATTAAACTTAATGAGCTATTTTAATTTTTTATTTAACTTTTGACTCTGCGGAAGAAAACTTTTGATCTTTTTATTTTTTTTTTCAATAAAATTTAAAAGAAGTTTAGCGTTGCGTAATTTATGGCCTATTCCTAATCTAAAAGTTAAGCCAAAAAATAATGGAGTATAATACTATTTTGATGGTTATCTAAATTCTGTTGTTGTTGCACACTCGGTTTAGAATGTGTAATGGGGGCGTGGTAAAATGGCTGTAAAATTCTAAATTTCCTCATTATATCAATTTATTTATTCCTCATTATATCATTATATTAAATAATTTTAACTTTTAATTATTTTTAAAAATAATAAATTTAATAACATGATTTAATTTAAATATAAAATTAAAATTTCCAATTATGTATAATTAAAAACTTTTTACACCCCCTTATTTTTAAAAAAAAATAAGGTCACCGGTTGGCAAGTTCAAATCATCAGCTTGTTTTTTTTTTTAATTTTTGTCATTTAAAATGCAAAACAAAACAACTTTACAGTTCTTTAGATTTTATATTCTATATACAAACATGTTGTATGTTCATTTTTCTTGTATGAACTCAACTCAATAAAGAAAATTTGAAATGTAAAACTAAAATAACATATCTCAATCTCAAACATATCTCAATCAAATAACATATCTCAATCATGACACATACGCACAAAATTTCCCCCCTTTTATTTTGATATTTTTAAAATTTTTAGCTTTTTTAAAAAACTTTTTGTTTGTTTAAGTGTATAATATCGTTACATATGTTTGTATATAATCTTTGTAAAACTTCAAAAGTATATTTTATTTTAAAAAATATAAAAAAATTAAAAAAAAAAATTTGCTAATCGTAGGACTCGAACAATGGCTCTTTTGTTCAGAAGCTAACCACTCAGTCACCCTGGTACATTGACTAACGTAATTTTAAAACTATATAATAACTTTTTTAAATGGAAATAAATGCTATATATTAAAATTAAGGAGAGGTTGATGCAAAACAATTTTCAAGTGAAAGTCAAACTGTAAAACTCGATATATATTTAAGTATGTTTTAATATTATATAAGTTGAAGTTTACGCACGTTAGATATTTGCATACAATTTCGTTCACATTTTCTTATAAAACAAAATGCTGCGACTCTTTTGTGCTATTACCTTGGTTGCAATGGCTGCAAAGAGCTTTGTTTCAAACACGCTTGAAAGGGCACTACTACTACTACTACTACTACTACTACTACTACTACTACTACTACTACTACTACTACTACTACTACTACTACTACTATTAAGTTCAGCAATATTATAGAGCAATACTATTTCAATTATTATTATTTTATTATTTATATTACTTTTAAATATTTAATTCTACTTCAAAATTTAACACGAAGCTTTTAAATCAAAATGATTAGACTAAATTTTATATTTTAATATCGAACCTAATCCTGCTAACCTAATGCTGTTACTTATTTGTGGTTGTTTTTACAGAACTCACTGCAGCCACCACACCAGAGTTAATGGCAAGTATCACAGCACATTTTTTATCAGAAAATAGGCCGAGTGAATATAAAAAAGTAATTGCTTTTACTCTGCATTTTTGGAGTAATTGTTCGGCTTTACGCAAATAAAAATTTTAACAAACTTGCTCAAATTTTTATTCATGTAAAGCTAAGCAATTTACTCCAATAACGTTGAGTAATTGTTTACCTTTATGTGAATAAAAGTTTGAGCAAAATTGCGGAAGTTTTTATTTGCATAAAACTCAATTACTGATTAAATTAAAGCAATTAAAAGCAATTGCTTTTAATTGCTGCAGATGATTTGAAAAGAATTTAAAATAAAAACTTAACAGAAATCTAATAATACTAAAAAAAATTTATAACTCCGTACCCATTTTATTTTTATAGAAGTTTACAATTTTACAATATCAAAAAAAGTTATAAAGTTTAACATTAAAGTTATAAAGTTTAACATTTTATTTTCTATCACTTACTTAAAATTATTGAATTAAAACAACTATATAATGAATAAGTATAGTAAGGGTCGATGTGGAATAAACTTACCATGACCCATATTATATGGGTCATGGTAAGTTCATTACTCCACATTTTTAAGTCAAATTCCAATTTTTTTATAAACTTTTTATACCAATTGTAATTAATCAACACAATTCAAGCAGGTAATTGCACAATAAGCACACAATTGCGTGCAAGCAGGTATTCTATTGAATGCAAGCAAGTATTCTGAATATTTAGAATACTTGCTTTGAATACTAATTTTCAAACTGCTGATAAATAGTGGTTCTAACAACAACTACAGAAGCGTTTAAAATTTTTTTAAAGTTAATTATGTTACAAGTTATTATTTTATTCATAATTTTAAAAGGTAATCAATATGTATAGTTTTTTTACCGTTTACTAAAAAATATTGAAGTAAGGAATAAGTATAGAAATGTTCGTATTTTACATGTCCGGACAACTAGAATACATTCTATATATTTCAAATATAACTTATAATAATTTTTGAGATTTTCTGAAAAATTGTTAAACTATGGCAATATTCAGTAATAACTAAACAGTAAAAGCCATTTACCATCTATTGCTTTTTTTACAGCTGGTAGATTTCTTTCAACCCAATTAATGAAGTCTGAGCTTGGAGTAGGAGCTTGGAAAATACGGTTAACAATTTCCTTTAAATAAATAAAAAACAAGTAAATAAAAAGTTATTTAAAAAAAGACATTAAAATTTTTAAAATCAATTTCATATTAAAACTGACTATAAAATTTGCATTTTAAACTTTAGATGGTACTAAAAAGTTAAAATAATTAATAACAATAACTAATAATAAAGTTAAAATCATTAATGTTTAATAAATGTAACTTAATAGGATGCAATAGATGTATACTGTTACAATGTAACAAGTGTAAATTGATAAAAATTAAAACTTTTAAAAAAAAAAAAAAAAAAAAGACATTATTTATTATTTAAAAAAAAATTACTTATTTTATTATTTTTTATGAATGAAATTTGAGTAAATTTTAAACAATATTTCTCAAACCTTTTTAAATTTTATTCAAAATAAATACACAAAAATTGTTGGTAAGATGTCTTTCCATTTATTAAAAAAGCAAAACAAAATCTTTAAACAATTTATACTAAAATTCATTTAAAAAACTTTTAATCCAACAAACACATATAATCATACTCAAATTTTCCAGCAGTTACACCCTAAGAAAAGTTTATATAAAATTTATATATATATGTGTATATATATATATGTGTATATATATATATGTGTATATATATATATATATATATATATATATATATATATATATATATATATATATATATATAAAGTAGCCTTCTGGACTGTAGCGTCTGTCGACCACCCTGTCTGGAGCCTTGGGGAGGTGAACTTAATAAAATAAAAAAGTGCAATAAAATTAGGACTATATACCTGATCTCTGTTCTCCTTTTTACTTGCTTTATTTCCAGTTTGAAAAGGAGGAAAGTCACTGTAAAAAAGTATATTTTATATTAAATATGGCTTTATTTTGTAATTTTTAATAAACTGTATTTATAAATTTTATCTACATAATGATAATTCATACTAGTTTCTTAATTCCTCGATAATTTGTATTTAAAGTTTTCAGCGAAGAATCAAGATTTTATTACTTTATGGTTATTCTTTATAAAAGTTATAAAAGACATTTCAACTAAAAAAAAGTGATTAAACAAACCATGTAAGTTAATAAATGGATGGAACTAAATTCTGATAACAAACTGCAGACAATTCTTTTTAGAAAATGCTAGTGATTTTACTACTGTTGAATAATAATAATAATAATAATAATAATAATAATAATAATAATAATAATATATACAAAAAAAATAAAAAATTAAAAGTTAAACATTCCCACTGTGCAAAGGACCACTATTATATGACTCCTTTTTTAACTTTTTTTTTTAATTTTGTAGCCCAAACAACTCAACTTTTTTAACAAACAAATCTATTTTTATTTATTTCTCATAAATAAATAAATCATATTAATAGTATGTCTATGTAAAGTACATCTATAGTATCATTTACTTAAAAAAAAGAAACACTTTTTAACATTTTTAACCCCCAACCCCAACCCCTTAATTATTAAAACAAATTATTAAATAATTTTTGAAATAGATATTAGTAAGTTAAAAAAAAATTAGACCAGGGCTCAATTTAAAGGTTAGCCATTGCTGCCTCTTGGACCATTCTTTAGACCTGCTAGAAGAGGGCAACAAACCATTGTTGATTTTTTCAGTAAAAATGAACAATGGTTTGTTGTCACCACAAATCAGATCCTAAAAACAGTCGAGATGGGGGTGGGAAGGGCAGATAGGGGGGGGGGCCGCAATGTAAAATGTAACTTTATGTAAAATTTTTAATTATAATATGTGTGTGTGTGTTTGTGTGTATATACATATACGTGTGTATACATACATGCATACATACATACATACATACATACATACATACATACATACATATATATATATATATATATATATATATATATATATATATATATATATGAAAATATTTTTAAGAAAAACAATATTTTTCAATCTTGACATGTTTCAGAGTTTACACACTACAATTTCAAAAGATAAAATTTCAATTAAAACTCTGAAATAGAAAATATAAATTTGAAGACAGAGAAATATTACGAGACAAATAAAATTGTTACAAACCAATAAAAATTACAATACAAATTATGATACTGTAAATAGCATAAAAAATAATAAGTAAACAAAATAAACTAGATTGACAAATTTATATTATAACCAGCAATTTGTTTATATAAAGATTGCAATTTGTTTATTTAAAGATGGATTATACCATTTAATATGGAGTGCTTCTTTAATTTTTAGTTTGTTTATGTTAGGAGCAGTATCCAAAATTTTAAAACAATTATAGTTAATTAGATTCCTTTAACGCCAACTTTAGCTAATGTTTTTATTGGGTTTTACAAACAAAAATAATAATAATGTTTTTATTGGGTTTTACAAACAAAAATAATAATAATGTTTTTATTGGGTTTTACAAACAAAAATAATAATAATGTTTTTAATGGGTTTTTCAAACAAAAATAATAATAATGTTTTTATTGGGTTTTACAAACAGTTCGTAACTGCTCTTCCTCCATACTGATTTTCTATAAACATTATGTGGATGATATTTCTATAAACATTATGTGGATGATATTTCTATAAACATTATGTGGATGATATTTCTATAAACATTATGTGGATGATATTGTCGCTATTTTTTATTCAGAGTTTGAAGCTCAGGATTTTTTTAACATCTTAATAAAAAAAAAAACCTAAAATAAACCTAAATAACATAAAAACCTAAAATTTACTATGAAAAACAAGATAATCAAATTACATTTTTAGATGCTCTTATCAATAAGTCTATTTCGCTTTACGCATCAGTTTTTAAAAAAAACAAAACATATGCAGGTCTTTTAAAATTTAGGGCAAAAAAACATTTTGTTTTGCTTTAAATTTTACTAAAACCATAAAATAATATCCAATAGATTCAAAATTATGTTTTAATAAAGAATATTTCTATATACATTCCAATACTAGTATATCAATATACAATATAGTGTATCAGATTTCTTTTGATTTTTTAGTAGGATTAAAAATCAAAAGAAATTGATATTAAAATTTTATTCTTAAGCATAGCAATGATTAAAAAACAACTTTTTTCAAAAAGATGTGAATAAAATATTTCTAAATATATATATACTGAATTATAAAATAGCTTAAACCAATACAAATTTGAGACTTTAGATATTCTTTTGATATCGAGACTGTAGATCTTCTGACAAAAATAAGTTAGTGAGCAGTGAACAGCTTTTCGAACTTGCTTTTTTATTTCTTTGTCCAGAATGACATTTGACACTATGAATAGATCAAAGAAAAAGATTGAAGAAAAACATTCATTTATACATGAAATAAGTTTACTTGTTTTGGACTGTAGATCTTCTGACAAAAATAAGTTATTACAAACACAAAAATATACTCTGAGATTTTTCTCCTAAGAGTTTTTAATCTACAACAATTTAATTTCAAATGTGTTTGCTGTTAAGATCAATAACACAACTCAGAAGTTTGTCCCCATATTCAGGATGAGAAGGTTGCCTTTTAAACCTTTGCCAGTGGATATTGAATTCGGCATGCATTGATTCAGTGGTTTGCTTACTGAAAAATCTGAGCCTAGTTTCATTTTTTTCAACAAATTCCTTAATGTGATGAGAAATTGCATTCTGGGATGCACTCTGGGAATAACTGAAATTCCAAGAGCTTGGTAATAATGCTTTCTAATTCTAAAATATTTTGAATTCTAAAATATTTTGACAGAATCGTGCCTCCAAGATCTTTCCAAAACAAGCTTTTTTAACAGATTAAAGCTTTCAAAATAAAGGGTCTTGCTTTTGGGCAAGACCCTGAAGAATGTCAACATTCTTCAACAGTTTGTTGCATTCATTTCCATTGAACTGTCCCCCATGATAAGCTTGCATTTGAAAGTGCAAGCGATTCGGCCATTCTTGTGTTTGATCCCATATTTCAAAGATTGCTTGAAAATATGGTTGAAGCTTCCAAGAAAAAAATGGAGTTTCATTGGAGTAATTACATCAAGAATAAGCTCAGAGTGCCTGTAGGGATTAATTAATGGAGGATGGACAACACTAGAATTAGCCTAATGAAGTTTTGCGCCTGAAGAGAGGAATCCAGTATAGTTATTGCATAAAGAACTAAATATTCTTGATTAGCCAGAGTTTGTAAGGTCGTCAGACTTGACATCACACCAGTAACATGGATGTTTGCTAGAGTAAAACTGGACACCACATAAAATATTGACTATTTTCATGTCACATGAAATTATGTCAAACATCTTCAATTTGTATGAGGCTTAATATTGTCCTAAGATTTTCATATGTTTCAGGAATAACTTCTGCTGCAGCAACAATCAGCTGTTTTTTTACACCACCTGAAGAAGAATTGATTGTAGACATTGTGATCTTTAAGTTTAACTTTGATTGGAATATGTGTCAATTACGCTGAGGATAATTTTGAAGAATGAACCAAGTTTAACTAAATGATGTGATGTATGTCCTTTTACTGAAAGAATATGGTTTATAAAGGCATTCAAGTTCTTGCAGTGAACAGCTTTTCGAACTTGCTTTTTTATTTCTTTGTCCAGAATGACATTTGACACCATGAAAATAGATCAAAGAAAAAGATTGAAGAAAAACATTCACTTATACATGAAATAAGTTTTGTTTTGGACTGCTTTAGTTACTACTTATAAAAATAATGGCTTTAATCATTTCTTATTGTTCAATGACAACGTGTTAAAGACAATTGAAAAATTCATTTGTTTGGCTTTCTATTGATATACAGTTTGTTATGCTTTTAAAAGGATTTACTTTTCAAACTATTTATTTATTTGGCCATCCTAATTTTATTCAAAAAAACATTTTTTGAATAAAATTAGGATGACCAAATAAAAATTTCTAATTTTATTCCTAATTTTATTCAAAGTTCATTTCGCTGTGTGGTCACAGCGAAATGAACTTTGTTAAAACGACTGGTAGCAAAAGAGTTAACTTATAATAATAATATTTAATGAACAAATAAACATCAATTAGCTTTAATTAATTAGGATTAACTAGTTTATGAGTAGTATGCAAAGATTTTGTTAAAGCCAAAATGTTAAAAAAAATTTGCCCTTACCATAAACAATTACACTCTCATGTAAAATATCAAATATCAAACAAGAAATTCTTTGTAAATTTATTTAAGTAAAATCAAATTTATCTGGAATTTTTTTTTTTTTTAAATTTAACTTTGTCCTTTGTCCACATGCTTCATTGCCCATCACTACATCTGTTAAGTTCCATCAACACATTGTCATAAAGATTTAGAGCTTTCGTGGTTAAGTTTGCTTATAATTCTGATTTTCTTATAATTTTTAAAGTTAAATTAGGCAAAAGACTTAAAGCCATAGTACTTTTTCACAAATAAAAATATGTAACATGTAATTTTTAAACTGTAAACTTTAATTAAAAAACTGTTAACATTAACAATTCTGAAACACATACATAGATTAACATATACATATTAAAATTACTTGTATCCTTTTCTTTGCTGTTGAAGAGCTTGATATTGCATTTGTTGTTGGATAGAAGCTTTGCCATTTGGTCTTGAAGTAAAAGGACTTCCTAGCACATCATCCCAAAACATAGAATTATTGTTTTTAGATGTTTTAGCAACAAGAGGTTGTCCAGAAGAATTCCAAGGAAGTTGATTAAAATTCTAAATAAAAAAGTAGCAATAATAATAAAAATTATAAAATAAAACTAAAAGTATTTTAATGTTATAAAAAATTAATATATAATATTATTGAGTATAAAAAACTGCATTATTAATATTGCATATAAAAAAAAGTACAATATACAAAGGTAATATAATATGATGTAAAAAGAAAAAATTGATATAATTACTATAAAATTAAAATTATAATAGGGAAAATGATATTTTTAAAAACTATTTTTTAAGTAATATACCAATATTTTAATACATACAAATTTTAAATTGAGAAGATAATACCCTTAATACCTTATGACTAACAATGTGTGATACTTACCAAGGATGTGAAGTTTCAATACTCCCACATTATAAGTCACAAAAGCTCAATTTATTCTTGGTTTTCTATGTCTAAGACCTCCAAATATATTTAGACTTCTGGATTGCTTAGGGAAAAACTTAGGACACCTGATACATTATTTCACAATATAGTCTATGAATCTCAACATTGCACAATAAAGGCTAGAAGCATATTCAAAATCAAAGTTCTCTTTACATTCTTCAAAGGAAACTTTACACTCCTAATATGTACACTAAATTCTTCATAAATAAACATATAACTCAACAATAAATTTGCTCTCACTCCCTAAACGTGTTGTACCTCATAAAATACCATTTATTATATAGATTATATAGAAACTGAAATATATATATATATATATATATATACAGGGGTGTGGAGTCGTAAAAAAAAAGTAACGACTCCGACTCCAGTTGTTGAAATTTTTTGAGTACAACTCCAAAGCAAAATTTTTGAAAAATTCTTTGAATTCTTAAAAAAATATTGCCCGGTAAGTTGAAATTTTTTTTTTGACAAATTTATGAAACATTCTTTGATGTTTAGTATGAACATAAGGTTAATTGAATGTTTTGTACATGCATGCGCAATACCAAGAAATTTTACAATATACATACATATATATATATATATATATATATATATATATATATATATATATATATATATATATATAAGGATCAATTTATGTTTTTTTTTTTTTTTAAATTTTGAGTTGTGTTATGTTGCAGTTACTGTGTTTAGGTTAGAAATGAGGTTTTGCCAAATCTCAAGTTTCCTGGTTTAAAAATGACTTGCGGATTTCAAGTCTTTATCTTTAGTTTTGTTAAATAGTTAATTTCAAACGTTGAAATATTTAAGTCTAGTTATCTCATTTTAAAATATCTTGTTTCAAATTTATAAAGTAACCAATAAACGATTTCTTAAAAAATTGTTTTAAGAAGCCAATAAATTTTCGCTAAATCATTTACACGCATTAAATTTAGATTTTGCAAATCTTTTTTGTATTTAAAAGTTCTTATTTTAATATAAAAGTATTGTATCTTGTTTTCATTTAAAAGTTGGCTTTAAAATTAAATATAAAGTATTTAAAAGTAGGTTAAAAAATAAAATTACAATTTAAAGAAATCATTTAATATTAAAGGTTATAACTTATGAATGTAATATATTTAGAGTATTTTTTTTACCTGTTTATATTACATAAGTTTTGTTTCGCATCTTCTGAAGTAGATTAAAATATAAAACTTTTCGAAGGAACTAATGGTTTTATTTAATTTAGTCGGAGAAACTTTTATTAATTCCTGAGGGGGCCATGGCTCCCAAATTTTTTCAAAAGGGTTTTACTTCTTTGAAAAAATTTGGGAGCCATGTCTTTCTTTGTGTCAAAAATTATCCAAAATCTCTCAAACTGTGAGAGTAATCATATAGTCTCCAACTACTGCAATATTACACAATATGCAGAATTAAAGTTGACTTACCCTAATTAATATATATACAGGCTTGGACAGTAGTGGCGTGCGATCGCACTCTATTATTTACAACTTGACCACGGTTTTAACAATTTAATTACGATAGGAATAAATGAATTTAAATCTTTTATAATAATTTTTAAATTTGTTACATGAAGCGCTTATTAATAAAGTTGTAATGCTCAAATTAAAATTAAGTTAAACTGCTTTTTGGCAGTTTATTTTATTTAATCGCTGGCGCATTTTATTTATTTTTTTCCTATTTATACGAATAAAAAAGTTGAAAACCTTTTTTTTAATTAGAGCATGAAATTATTAAAAATTACTATTTTACTTTAAGACTACGTTATTTTTTGAAAAAATATTTATACAATTTAAAAACATTACATACAACACCTTTTAATAAATTTGATATAATTTGTTCATTTATTAAACAATTTGTTACTTAATTTAAAAGCATTTTGCATAACTTTAATAAAACGTTTAAAAAGATTTATTTCAAATGTAATTAAAAACGTTACAAAAATTTTCGCTTAAGTTTTTTTATTTTTATTCTAGTGCTTATATAATTTCTTTGTCATAAAAACTTTTTATTCGTTTCTTTTTTCGTTAGGAATTTTTTTTTTGTTAGTTTCTTTTTTTAACTTTTTTCCTAGTTTAAGTTAAGCTTAGCATTTCTCCATTGTCAGCGCATTTCTGAAATTTATAAATCATCAAAACATTTAAACAACCGTAGTCAAGTTGTCAAGAAATAAAATCATTTGCGCGGTCAGCAATAGCGCTCAATCGCATGTCATTCTGTCCAAGTGTCTTGGTGCACAGTCCAAGCCTATATATATATGGGCAATTCCGCGAGAGTGGCGGTCGTAACATCTGACGTTCTTTAAGCTATTAAAAATGAACCAAAAATGGAGACAACTTGAAACTTTCCAGAAATGTGGAATACTATTATATAATTTAGTAAGCAAAAATTGCAGTATTGAAGTCTTAAACTTTTTTCAAAAATTAACTCGGCAAAGCATGACGGTCGTAATGCTTACTTTTTATCGCTTCTAAACAAAATAACTCTGCCAGACTAAATGCAGCGAACGACATGGTAAAAATAAAAATCATTTGCTGTGTGCATTTAGCACATATTGATGTTATTATATGCAGAGTTTCATAGTTTTTACTTTAACTTTTACAAACATTTCTGTATTTTTTATGTCATGACGGTCGTAACGAAAAATCTAATTTTAAAAAACAACAAATAAAACGACGCAATCAAAAAAAAAAAGATGAATAATTATAAAAACCATGTAAACTTATAAAAACTATGTAAAAGTATGAATTTTATAACATTATCGAAGTTCTCAGTTATGGTTTTTTGATACTGGGTTCGTTTAATTTGGAATAAGCAACCAAAACCTGGCTTTGTACCAAATATTTATTTATACTTTATTACTTTACTAAATTTTTAATGGTTTATGCTCTTAATGCTCCCTGGTCCCAACATAAGCTTATAAAATAGTTCTTTCAGTAAAGAAAATTAATTTTAAAATTGTTAAAACCCGTGAAAAATATTCGACAACTTTGAAATCAAAAACTTTCCATTTTTGACTTGCCAAAAATGCATTTTGGTAATATTTTTAACGGCTTTCGCTTCTTTAATTTGATCAGCTATAATGGCCCACCTTAGATTAATGTCATCTGCGTTGAATATTCTAACATAAGTTTTGCTCTCATTTGATGCTAAAAGGAAGTCTTTAGCGTTTAAAACTATAACTTCACGAGATTTTACTCTGTTCCAAACAAATCGCTTCAACGATCCTCCTACACCATCAACTGCTCCTTTACCGTGAGAGGTAGCGAAAAAATTCCACTCTATAGATTGAAAATGATATTTCACAAAGCAATGTTGTATGAATTTGGCCATGTAACCATTTTTGAATTGAGTGCAAGGGCCATCGCTCCATAATATAACTTTTTTTATATAATCAATGCAATAGAGGTCAAATATTTCACTTAAGTAAGTAGTAGGGGAACGCTTTGTTTTATCATTATCATCGGATATTATTACAACTGATTTTGTCTCTAATTGGTAACGATAGATAACAACTGTAAACAAAATAATACTAGACTGCGACCAATAAGCAGCTTAAACAGCATCCTGATAACCACATACATAGTTTTGTGAATAATCAAAGTGTATCAAAATTTGGTCTGGTTTGAGATTTTCCTTTTGACTACGGTATTGCTCAGACTGGTGCTTTTTAGTGAGATGATGCTCAATAAACTCTGGTAAATAGTCGCAAAAGTGTTTATAGACGTCTGTTATGTTTTTTTTATGTTCACTGAGTACACAGCGATGATCATCTTTTATCCACCAACTATAGGTGATGAATGTATTAATGTCTCCGTTTTCTGGCAAAGAAACTTTAAATAATTTACAATCACTACATAACGAACATTTCATAATCCAACATTGGGACATAGGTGGCTTACACAATACATATTTTTCTAACCATTTATTACAATACAATGGAAAATGTATTTTACTTGCCAAAGCAGCAAACAAATAAGTAAAATTACTGTGATAAACACAACCACATGATTCAAGTGGTGCGTTTTTGCATGTAAGAATGTATCTTGGCCTTAGTTCACATTTTAGTTAGTTTAACATTTTTGCTGGCACCCTCTTCACAATACAATTGGTGCAGCTCCTTTAAATTCATAACTAAAAAGCGCCTTTGAACTTTTTCTCCGTCAATTTTAATATTATCTTTTCTTCCAGGAGACATTATTGATATATCTTCTCTTTCATAAAATGCTTTTACTTTTTCAATTTCTTCTGATGTGATGCGAACTCGCGTGATTTCTTCAGTAGTGCATAAGCCATATTCAGCACCTGCTCTACAATAGTTCGTCTTTTATTTGGAGGCTTTGGAAGAGCCCGTTTTGTTCTAAAAATTTTATTTAATATAAAAAAACCCAAATTATGCAAAAGCAATAACATTAAAAAATATAGTTTAATATAATTAAATACTTGTTTAATGCTTTTGTCATTGACGATTTGCAGTTATAAGAATTATCAGGCGTAACATTCAAACTAGTGTTAGCAGTAAATTCAAGTTTTTTTTTCATTCTTAACCTTCGGTTACGAACTTTCGCTTGATTTTTTTGCTTGTTTTCTTTTCTTGGTGTTAATAACTGTCTCCTTTGATAACTTCTCTTTCTTTCTTTTTCCAACAGCACTTGTCTGTTTCTTGCTCTATAAGCTTTTGATCTTTCAGCATCTGATTTAGGCATTTTAAAAATGTTGTTAAATGCGACAGCTTCCATTTGAGATTTTCCTTCTGTTATGTTAAAAAAAAACACGCGAATTTTATAAATAAAAAAACCGCGAAATTTAATGAACAAAAAAGTTGCAATGCAAACTAGAAACAATGTTTAAACTAAAAAAAAGTTTTCTTCATGTTAAAAGTTTTTATTTCTTTACAAATATTAATTTATTTACATCAATTATTTAAAATAAGTGATGTATATTTTAAAAAAGAAATAGGAAAAACTTTAACAAGCTTATCAATATATTGAGTAAACAAACAGAAAATCAAACGAAATTGATTCAAAACTTGGTTTCAAACCCTCAGTTGATGTAGCAGCACTCCACTGCGAGTCAGGCTATTTGTCAGTCGATGTATGTACTGAAGCCCCCGGTAGCAGGCTATTTGACGTTAGGTGAGTATGACGTCATCATGCTCACCTAACTCAGCAGTATAAGATATATATAATATATATATATATATATATATATATATATATATATATATAAATATATATATATATATATATATATAAATATATATATATAAATATATATATATATATATATATATATATATATATATATATATATATATATATATATATATATATATATATATATATATATAAATATAAATATATATATATATATATAAATATATATATATATATATAAATAAATATATATAAAAATATATATATATATATATATATATATATATATATATAAATATATATAAAAATATATATTTATATATATATATAAATATATATATAAATATATATATATATATATATATATATATATATATATATATATATATATATATATATATATATATATATATATATATATATATATATATATATATATATGTATATATATAAGACACCTGCAAAGCTTTAGAATGGAATTTACAAAAGGGATTTAATTGAAAAATATTTTGTTTAGTTATCTTATACTAAATTTATCTACTGATTTCAATTTCATCTAATTATATTTCAGTGACCATGTAAAATCTACAACCCCCTCGTTTTCAATCAAATTTTGCCCAAAAGAATACTAGAAAAAATATGTAAAAACATTACTGTTCTTTTACAAGTTAACTGGATATGTTTTTATAAATGGTTGAATTAAGAAAAATTTGATTTGAAAATTATAAAATTATAAAATATTTATATTTTTATATTTGAGATCCGCAATAGAAAAATAAACAAATTCAAAATTTACATTGTTAACTTGCTGTTGCTGTTGTTGAGGTTGTCTTTGCTGTTGTTGCAAAACTTTTTGAGCTTCTTCAGCTTGAATTTCTACCAATGGTTTCACTTGATGATAATTTTGTTTATGCTGATTTTGAAAACTATTTAAAAAAAGAAAAAAACAGATAAAAATGTCTAAACTACTGCTGCTGTAGAGTGCTGATCTTGTGAAAAAATTTTGCTGTTATAAAATGCTGTTGCTTTTGTTGTTATTAATATTGTTTATGTTGTAATAAGTGTTGTTGTTATATATTAAATTGTTGTTTACGTAAACTGCTGTTGTGTTTGTTACAAATTAAATTATTTAAAAACATTCACTTTTTAATAGCAAATCATGTAAAAACAGCTTGCACAATATGTACAAAATAAATCTGAATTTATAGCACACTACGAGACCTTTAAATACTAACTTGATACAGCACAGATTGTAAGTATTTATCCACATTATCTCATATCATTTTTATAATTATGCAGACAAAGTAAATTGCACATGAAACCTAACAAAGTTCAAAAACATGTTTGTAAAAACTTATAAAAATTTATGTTGTTTAGATGTGAGCTTAGCTAGAAAAATAAAGAAATTCATTTAATAAAAAAGCAAAACAAAAAAAACAAAAAAACAAACATGTTCGAAAACAACTAGTAAAGGGGATATAAAAAAAAATCATTAATTTGTTAAAAACCATTTCAGGAGATAATGCAATAAGTTGATAAATGTGATTATTAAAATAAAGTCAATAAATACAGTCATTAAAATACAAAACAATTAAAGGATTAAACTTTCCAAAAACAGAAGAGGTTTAAGCTCCTAAAACCCAACAGGGTGTTACTATAGCTAAGTAATGTACCTTTTTTTATGATAATTGTTTAATTATATAGTAAACAAAGATTTATTAAAGTTATATATTTAATTATAAGCTTATTAATTTTTAATTAATAAACTAATTTAATATAATAGTATAATTATACTTTACTTTATAAAAAAAATTATGATAAAATCAAAAGTATAAGAGCTGTACCTTTGTTGTTGAGCCCAACGAGCTTGTTGAGCTCGTTGTTGTTGAACTAACTGTTCATGTTGGTGTATAGCTTTCATGTGTTCATGTGCTTCTGCTTCTTTTCGCTCTTGAGCGCGTTGAATCTCAGCTAAAGAAGGTGCAGAAGATGTGGGCGTCATTTGCCATATAGGATTAGAAGAAACCTACAGTTTGATATTTATTTTCTTTAATTTCTAATTATTTTAACAAATAGAATAAATAAATAAAAATAAAAAAATAAAGGTAATAACAAAAAAAAAAGGAAATGAGGTAAAAAAAAAAAAAAAGAGCAATCTACAGTTAGCAGTCATTTAATAAACTTTTATCTGTAAAAAAAAAAAGAAGTTTAATATATAAAAATAAATTTTTTAATAAAAAAATGTTAGTTTTTGCTGTATTAAATTTAACAGAAATTGTAAGTTTTTCATTGTTATTTATGCTTTTATTAATTAAATTAACTTAAACTTACTCATTATTAATTAGATAAATCAAAGAACCATAGCAACATTGAAGTTGCAATGGTTCAATAACAAGACCACATCAACCATTAGCACACAAATGCAATAAAATAAAAATGGTGCAAATTTTTTTAAATTGAGCAGTAGATTAGGCAGAATGTTGAACAAAAGCAATTTATAGCAACAATTCAATAGATTTTCAGGACAAAAGCAATAAAACAAGATAGAAAATTAAAAGTTAAAAGATTTGCAATTATGAAACCTTGTGAACATACAAGACACTATAATACTTTTTGTTCCATCAATAAATAATATGGCACAAGCAAATATTACATCATCTATAGGGTGGTACAAAAAACAACATGTTTGAAAATTATCTGTGGTTTGCACCTCAATGGGTCCTTTTTATTGATAAATATTAATAAAAAAAAGGTTTTCAAAAGTATGTCTTGTTGAATCTCAAAAAAAGGGAAATTTTATAAAATTTTTAAAAATAATCATCAAAACAACAACAATAGACATAAGGGATTGTCCATAAATTACGTAACGCAAAATTTCACAATTACATTAAACATTGAAAGTATCAAGAGAAGATCATAAAACTACCAAATAAAACTTTATATTACATGTATAATATATACAAACTGACATAAGTCACTTAAGTTTGATGAAGAGACATTTTCCACGATTTCTTCATGGTTTTTTAAAAATTCAACCAGATTTACCTGCCAGGAAAATCAGGGAAAAGTCAGAGAATTCAAACGCCTGAAAATAAAATCAGTGAGTAATCGTACTCTCTGATTTTTTTCAGACATCTTAATTCTAATTTTTCCCTGATTTTCCTGATCTGGCAGACACATTTCCAAATGTGACACCCTGACAAATCTGCTTTGTTCTCATTTTGTTACAAAAATGGTTCAGAGTTTTGTGAGGAATGAAAATTTGTTTGTACACTTCTGGTATGAAAATTATACAGCTATGGTATGAAAATTAAACACCCAAGATGTAGATTTAAAGTAAAAATTAAAGAAATTAGAGAATCAAGTGCCAACCTGGTGTTTTTGTTGATGTTCCTGATGATACTTTTGAAGAAGCATTTGTTGATGCATCTGCTGTTGCTGTTGTTTTGTACGAATAATTTCTTCACGCCGATTTTGTTCTTCTATCATTCGTTTTTGTTCTGCATTTCTCTGTTGTTGCTGAATTTGCTGTTGGTGCTTTAAAGCCTCTAAGGCTTTTCTTTGTGCTTCATCTTTTTCTTTTTGCCTTTGCTCAGTTTCCATTTGTCTCTAAAGAATTTATAGTAATTGATTTATAATTAATAATTTTCATTAACTTTTATTTAATTGGTTTCTTTTTCAACTTTATCTACCGCTTATAATAAATCAACTAAATAAATAAAACAAATAAATAAAAGTTATAATAAATAATATAATTAAATTTTTTTTAATATAAATAAAAATTTTCATTAACTTTTATTTAAAATAATTGGTTTCTTTTTTAAATTTAAATTTCTATTAAAATAAAAATTTATAATAAAAATTTAAATTTTTGTTATAAATTTAACTAACTAAAATAGTTATAAACTCCGAGTTGTCACAATTTAAAAAACAAAAAACCATTTAAAAAACAAACTCTTATACAAATGAATTAATAATCTACAATAAAAAATGAACTTTTTCTAAAAACAACATTTTTCAAGCGAACTAAATAGTAAAAAATAATTTTCCTTTGACCTTGTAGGATTGTCTGATTATATTCCTCTTATAATGATGACAGATTTTATAACAAATTTGATACACGAAAAATGTTGGGCGCAAGTGGTGGTTTGATAATATTATGAAATTATGCAGTATAAAATTTGATTTAATGCTTTGTTTGTGTGGATGTATTTAAGTGTATCTATTATAATTTAAATTTAGTTGGCCATTTTAATGATCAGTGTAGATATATTGCACTGATATATGATTAACGAAACCATTAAGTTGGTTGATCACCAATCTTATAACATGCGGCTAAAATTTTTTGTTTTTAGTGTATCAAATTTGTTATAAAATCTGTCATCATTATAAAAGGAATATAATCAGACATTCTGACAAGCTCAAAGAAAAATTATTTTTTATGTTTTACTTCGCTTGAAAAACGCTGTTTTTACAAAAAATTCATTTTTTATTGTAGATTATTTTTTACTTTTTAGATTTATTTGGTTAGAGTCTTTGAGCAATTGCTAGAGTTTAGAGCAATTGTTTAGAGCTACTCTTCTCTATTAACCTTCAATACTTTATTCTTTATGCCTATCAATTTCCAAAATCAACTATTATCATGTATTTAAGTGAAATTTACAATTTTGCATAAGTCGCACACATTGAATTATTTTGTACACGAAAAAAAAAATCCAATTATTTCACTTATTTCTAAATTTCATTCACTCCTACCTTCAGTATCCTTAACACAATTTTTATCCTTAACACTTTTTTTATTGAATTTAATTGTATTTTATTCACTATGCGATTTCTTTAACATTTTTACTGCAATAATTATTTTTAACACTTACATTATTTTTTAATTATTTGTTTACTAAATTTTTGTTCAATACGTGTGCTGAATTGACCTTTCCCCGTAAAGCAATGCATTATGGTATTTGTATGTATGTGGAAGTAAACAACAAAAATAAGTTGAGGAAAATGTTAAATATTGAAAGAACTGAGATTGTCCCAATAGACTTTGGTGTATTTTATTTCACACCTTTTAAATTTTTTAGTTCAAATTTTAAAAACTATATTATTGGAGTGAAATTTGCACTATATAAGACTTCAAAAAAAAGATAACAACAAGTGCACCAAACAATGTTTTTCAACTAAAAAACAAACAAAAAAAGAAGTCAGAATTTTACATGTTTGTACCTAAATGCTTTAGCAATTAAGTAAAACATTTTTTTCAACCAATTTATTGTTTCCCAACAAAAAAAATTCCCAACAAAGAAAATATTGAAGAATAAAAAAAATACTAATTTCTTAGAATAATTTTTACATACTTTTACATCCTTTCAAATATTTTTTTAATCATAAACTGAAAATAAAATGTATTTAAACAAGGTAAATCTTATTGAACCATTTTTCATTTTCAAATTTAATTGATTGCACAAAAAAAGTCTTCATTTTTGTATAGAACAAAGTCAATTTCGCTATTTTCTGTAAAAGCTTTGATACCTTGACATTGATAAAATTAACTGTTTGATTTTTAGTTTTTGTTGTCTATTACTATTCCCATACAAAAGTTTTACTGCTACAAGCTTTATGTACACAAACATTTCTTTTTAAAATAGAGCATTTCAATTATTTTGCAGCTGTCTTAGTTAATACACAACCATTCTGGACTAGAACCAGCCATGGCATGGCATAGGATTTATAACAAGATCACATTTTTTAGCATCACAGTTAACTTTTACTTTAAACTTTTTATGAGCAATATCTTCATTTTCAATAGTCCACTAACAAGCTTGTGATTGTAAACTACTAACACAGTTTCTTATAAGCTTTTTTAACAATGAAGTTGGAGGAATATTATTTCTACAGTTTATAACTGTATCAAAACTTGATGCAGTAAGTTTTTTATTTTGTTCCTCAACCCATTTTTGTTTTTGTTTTGACCTTTAGTTTTTGATTTAATTTGAATTATTTTCTTAAAACTGATTAACATTATGGCAAGCTTTAATTTTCCTCAATCAAATTAGTTTTAATTAAATGGTCCAGACAGTGTAGAAATTTTTCCATTATATCTAGGCTTAAACTTTTCAACATTTTTTTATTTACTCGTTAGTAAATATTTCACAAAATGATTTTGGACAAATTTAATTTCGATAATTAACACAGAGATTGTCATTCCATGGTTTAATTCTATATAATAAAATATTTTGTTTAACTCTAATTTATTTTACATAGTTCTCTTTAAATAACTGATAACCAGCTATTTTATGTTTAGCAGCTCTTCTATCAAAATATAGTCTGATACTATATAAGTAAATATATGTTGATGTGTTATCGGAAACAGAGATGTTGTTTTTTGACCATTAAATTACATCTTTAGACATTATTTTCTTTTTGTCTTTTTATACAAAATGTTGCATTTAGTGGAATGCTAAAGGCTTTTTCAGATCCAGCACGAATATTTATAGAGTTAATTATATATTCTTTTACTTATGTATACTTGTAGAATATATTTCAAACAAACTTCTCTAACGAAATTCAACTACAACTGCGTTGAAATATTTGTTTATATTACAATGCAGTTATTCTCTTGCGGAGATAATAATTATTATCTATGTACGAGCAAGCCACAAAATAATGAAAAATTGAAAAAACTATGAATCGCGAGTTTTTGATTTTACTGTACATACAAATACCATAATGCATTGCTTTATGGGGAAAGGTCATTTTTTAAAAATTTGAAATATTTTTTGTTTGTTACAAATTATTTTATGTAATTAGTTAGAGTTACGTAACCAAAAGTATTGAACTCATTCATTAAAAAATAATTAACAAAGAAAATTTTCAAAAACTGTTTTTTTCTTTAAGTGCTCACTATTAAGTCGCTATTTCTTTTTTCTGCATATAAAATTTTATTTTGTTGAAATTGAGAGAAATATTGACTGCTGAAGCTTGAAAATGATTTTAAATCGCATTGTCATCGGGTTCTGAGCTATACTGAAAGTTTCAGAGCTCTAGCTGGTCAGGAAGTGGGTTAAATATAGCTTCAAAGATTCTAACTGGATGAACAAACACACACACACACACTCACAAGAAAGCAAGTTTATAAAAACGTTGTAAAAATGCAAAAATCATCCCCTGAAAAAAAACCTCAAAAAATATCACCTGGAAAAAAACTAAAAGCATGGAAATTCAATACATTTCAAAAAGAGATTCATAAGCCTTTTTTTATTTTTAATGGAAGGAATTTAAATAAGAATACAAAATACCCTAATTTCTTGTTCTTCAGCCTTTTCTTTGTACTTCTTTTTGTTGCTTTTGTTTACTTTCTTTATCTCATTTTTTTCTTGGACAGTTTTCTCATTCTAAAATTTAGTTTACCACTAATATAACAATAAAAAAATAATGTAAGCAATTAATGCTAATGTAAGCATATATATAAACTTACAGAGTAAGCATATAGAAATTGTATATACAGTTAAAGTAAATGAATATATAGTTAAAGTAAGTGTATATACAGTCATAAGTATATATATATATATATATATATATATATATATATATATATATATATATATATATATATATATATATATATATATATATATATATATATATATATATATATATATATATATATAGTTAAACTTATTTATATAGCAGAGTGGAAAGTAATGGCTGGTCAAGGACCGCCTGGTCTTTGACCAGGAATTTCAAGTTTGACCTCCCAAAATGAAATCTTCCCAGTCATGATTGACAAGTTGAAAAAAAATTCAGAGTTTTGAAAAAAAAGGTTCATTTAATAATCACGATGTAATTTGGAAAATGCTAAAATTTTATAAAATCAAATATAATATAATATATAATATAATATAACATAATATAAAATCATAAAATGCGTTTAAAATAATTTTGTTGTTTACGATATGCTACTTTAATTCGACTTATATTATGATATAAATAGTATAAAAGAGGTAAACTATTAACTTGTTTGCTTTACTTATTTAGATTACTTTCATTTTAATGGTGGTATAAATCTTTTTTTCATAAATGATTTAAGTTCTTACATTATTGTTATTAAAAAAAAAAGATTTATTATATAACTTTAATAACAATAAAAAAATAATAATTGCAGTACTTAAATAGGAACATTTCATCTTCAAACTGTACTTGGTCACTTTGCTTTTCGTTTTTTTTTTTTATTTTTCTTATTTTTTACTAAGTTTTTGCCACAAATTGCAATAAATGAATTAATTATTTATAGATAAATTTAAAATTATCTATAGCGTGTTTGCATTATCTTCTTTTCTATTATAGGATTTTTAAAAATATATAGATATTAATTAAAATATAGGTATAATATATAATTATATAGATATTAGGTAAAAATCTGGTTTTATTATTAATTTTATATGTTTTATAAAAGTAATTTTAAATGTTTTATAAAACTATTGTCTTCTTAGTATTAAAAAGTATCGGTGCACTAGAGTTAATATTAAGTATTTAAATATTATTAAGTAATTAACATTAGCAGTTTATAAAATGATTTTAATAAGCAGAAATATTAAATGTGATATTATTTTTCTTTTATGTATTTATTACAGAAGCATTTTACAAAATGATATAAAATGATACAAAATTTTTAATTTAATTACCTGGATATTATCAAACTTCTTTTTTAAATTGAATAAAAAATCTGTGCGCACTAGAGTTATTTTAAACTATTAATCAGAGGCGGATCCATGCCATCCAGTAAGGAGGGGGGACTTTTAGATTTTTTTAGTAAATATAATAAATTATATATCTTTTCAGTCAATTTTTGTTTAAATACTATAATTGATTGGATGTTATTGGAGAAGTTTTTGACTTTTACAATGCTTCTGCAAAATGAAATTTTATTTTGTAAATTAGAACTTGTAACATAAGTTGTTAAAATAATAATCTAAAAATCAAGGTTTTAAATACTTAGTTAGACAACTAAACTCTCTTCTTTGTCAAATAGTTGTGTTTCAATTCATGTAAGGAAGGGGGTAGCCAATTTATGTGCACTCCTATTTGATAGTCAATGTATGTACACTCCTTGCATGTTCTACCTATTTGTCAGTCGATTTATGAAAAATGAAGGATTAAGGTTTTGCTTGAAACATAACATGTATGTATAAAATATTTATGTTATAAACAACTATCATATAGATATATCATTTATTTTTTGTGCTATAAAAATCCTGGCAGATTTTTATAAAATAAGAAATTGAAGGCAAAATAAGAAATCAAAGGCGATTGGTCAATTTGACCAGCTGACACTTGGAATTGGCGATCATTTATTTTTTGTTTTTTTTGACAGTCAAAAATTTTATTTTTTTCTTTGTTTAAATTTTTATCTTAGTAATAGTTTTTCATGACTGAATTTTATATATACTTAAGTTATTTTTATATGAAAATAACTTAACTGTTGAAACAATTTTAAAACAATTTAAAATTGTTTTAAAAGGAATATGAATTTGTTAATTTTCAAGCGTAAAGTTATTTTTGTATATATAAAATTCAGTCATGAAAAACTATTACTAAGATAAAAATTTAAACAAAGAAAAATTTTTTTTTAGACTATTAAAAAAATCAAAAACAAATGATCTCCAATTCCAAGTGTCAGCTGGTCAAATTGACCACTCGCCTTCGATTCCTTATTTTGCACACTTTATACAGTTCAAGTAAGTGTATATACAGTTATAATAAATGTATATACAGTTATAGCCAAAATTTCAACCACTTGATAAGTGTATATACAGTTATAGCCAAAGATTCACTTGCTATATACTACAAAAAATCATTTTTGTAATGTATTTTGTACACAATATTACTAGAAAACATTTTAATTCAAAAAACAACACTCATGAACATAAATGAATAAAGAAGTCACAGTATAAAACATGTTTTAGTACTTTGTATGGGCTCTTTGAACTTTTAAAATAGCCTCTATTCTTCTTGACATTTTAGCAACAAAATACAATATTAAATGAGTTATTTTATAACACCATAATTTAATTATGGCTTTTTGCAGATCTGCTAGTGAGCTTAAGTATTGTTTAGAAACCTCTGCGTTCAATTTTACAAACAGTTTTGGAGGGGTTTAAATCAATTGAATTGCCAGGCATGAAAATATCAAAGTTTCTTATTTAAAACCAATTAGGCACATAATTTGTGGAATCAACAACGTCACATTGAAAAAGATGTAAACCAGCACGACTACTGGTAGTGATTGCATCCCAAATCATAATTGCTGGACATTGCTAACAAAAGGTGTAACAAATTGAGGATTGAAAAGTGAGTTTGGTGGCCAGCAAACAGTTTACAGCACATAAACTTTGTGTGCTGCAAACTGCTTAGCTTTTGCTTTGTTTGAGAACATGATACGCTCCAATTAGGCACATAATTTTCAAGTAATTTGTGGAATCAACGTCACATTGAAAAAGATGTAAACCAGCATGACTACTGGTAGTGATTGCATCCCAAATCATAATTGCTGGACATTGCTAACAAAAGGTGTAACAAATTGAGGATTGAAAAGTGAGTTTGGTGGCCAGCAAACAGTTTACAGCACACAAACTTTGTGTGCTACAAACTGCTTAGCTTTTGTTTTGTCTGAGAACATGATACGCTGCAACATTTTCATATTCAATCCTTGTGTATTAAGGCAAAATTTTAGACAATCAAGAAAACAATTTTTTTGAGAAATTTGTGGTTTTAATGCAACACAATATAATCCAAAATTAAAGACCTTGGCATGGAATTGACGCCTTGAACTGGGCACAAAGATTCACACTAAGAGGGCAGTTGAGTAAAAATGTGAGCTTGAAACCATTAAGTCAAATATTTTAAAAATTGAAAATGTTGATAGTATTTTTACTATCAAAACATTCATAAAACATTCTTTTTTTAAAACAAAATATGAATATATGATATTATTCTGTACTGGAAATTTATACTGAAAAAGTCATATCTGCAATTCCTAACTACCCAATAACCTATAACAACTTATATAAGGTTATATAAGATTAATCATTCTTTTTATTAGATATAAATGTGGCACAAAAAAAGGTTTTATGTTATTTTTAAAATATTTTAATGTGACCATACCCTTATGGTCAAATAAAAATATTTTTGAAATGAGAAGCTGGAAGAAAAATGTATGGCTCTGGTTCCAAATTAATTTAAATTTAAAGGCTCTGAGCTTGGTTCCAGTATATTTGGTTCCCAGATACCACATTCCAAAAACTGGTCCCTAGATACAAACCATTCCAGTAATCTACTAAACAATTGATAAATTGTCATTTGAAAATTTAATCTGAAGAGAGCCAAGGAGTTAACAGTTTTTTAATGACTCTAGCTCCTTTCGAAAACTCTGACTCCAATGGCTCCAACTCCAATAGATCCAACTCTTTTTAAAAACCTCTAGCTCCACATCCCTCATGACTGTATCCTTCTATATGTAAACAAATTAGAATTTTTTATACTTGTGATCCTCTGGGACTACTTATAGTAGTAATTTTTAGAAAGTTTTATTTCTTTTTTATGAAATTGTATAAGGTTTATACAGCTCTCTAAGGTCAAGAAGGCCACTATAGTCAAAGACTACCTTTTTTTATAACAACTTCTTTTCATTATTTTTAAATGTTGTAATTCATTTTTGAACAATATAACCTAAAAAGAATTTCTCATATAGAATAATATCCAAAACACAAACCCTAACAAAAAAGACCAATAAAAAAACAAACAAGTTGAACTTGATACTTTCAGGGACATGGTGAATTTAAACTTTGTATCTATAACTTACAAAGCAAGCTCTCTAACACTGATAACATATGTGTGTATATATCACTCCATTTTTGTGTGCATATATACATTTATATAAATGTATATACACACATATAACTAATATAGCTTACAAATTAAGTATATATCTACAGCTCAATCAGTTCTGAAGTAAAGCTAACCTCATTTTCGTTCTCATTTCCAACAGTCAATTGATCTCCTGTGAATTGTTCATTTTGGGAAACATGTTGGTGTTCAATCTAAAAATAAGAAGTTTTAAATAATGTTACTATAAAATTAAATTTTATGTAAAATAACGAATGATTAATGATTATATATTGATTATATATTTAAAAAAAAAAACATGTTATAGATTGTTATTGTTAAAGAGTTAAAAAAATAATTAGAAATCACAGTGAAAGCCATTGTAAAAATTAATTCAACAACAACAAAAAAAAGATTTGATACCACCAACTCATCTTTTTAGAATTTATTTTTAAACCAAATTCAATTTCATAAACTATACAATATACCATTGCTTGCTTATTGTGGTCAGCTTCAATGTCTCTTAACATGAGTGCTTCAGAAGGTGATCTAAAGTTTTAACAAATTTTAAAATATGTACTTATAATTTTTCCTCTAACTGTAAATCATAGACTTATAAAATGAACATTTAAATAATTGATTTAATAAAAATAAGATAAAAACTTTTCTTTACATCTACACAACCAATATATTTTAATCTATCATTTTACCACAGGTAAACAACAAAAAATAACCGATAAAACAGAATTAATGTGAACAAAATAACAAAATGCAAAAAAGAAAATTTTCAAATATTTTAATAGAATTTTAATGTTTTCAGATGGATTGCTGGCAACTGTTTTTTAAATCTTTTTGTTAACAAAAACCTCATTTCTTTTAAAAAATTATCAACTAAGTACGGGTACACTTAAGTAGCATAATACATAATAGCAAATACTTAAGTATTTAATAAAAATAAGATTAATACTTTTCTTTACATCTACGCAACCAATATATCACTTAAGTAGAAAGTACATTCCTTAATTATTTAAATCTATCAAAATCACTAAAAGATAACCTAATTTAAGAACTCATATTATCAATATATACACTAATGAGAGTGGTTTTATAAATAAATGAAAAATCCTTGATGGCTTTTATAGACCCAGAAAAAAATTTCTCAGTATCAAGATGCAAAACAACATTAATAAGGACAAAACGATGGAGGGAATAACATTTTTGCAATTAGAGACACATCAGTTCCAATTCTCTTATAAAAATTAAAGTTGTAAAAATATAAATGTAGTAAAAATTTAAGTTGTAAAAATTAAACTGCTGTAAAAATTTAAGTATTAGTTCTATACAGATGATTTTTGTTAACAACTAAACAACAGAGATGTTGAGTTAACAACTTAACTTGACTTCTCTAAATTAAAGGAATATCTTAAAATAATAAAGAAATATCACACTCATATAATTTATTATGAAGTATAACAACAAACAGATGGACAAAATAAAGCGAAGAACAGTGAAATAACAGCAACAAATAGTGAAATAAGATAAAGTTGAAAAAAAAAAATGTACTGGCACAAGATTAATATTGTGCAAGGATGAAAGCAACCATATTAAAACAATGATGCAATTTTTTTGTTCAAAACAATAAATAAAAATACCTTATCTAAAATAACTTCAATTGAAAAAACTTACTTGACATTCCAAATATTAGTTTCATTCTCAAACCCAGGAACCCAAGGGGTTCCAGATGTTGCATTGACATCTAAATAAGTTATTCAAATTTATTTTTAACTGAAAAGACTAATAACATCCCTTACTTTACCGCTAGATTTAGGAGTGTCACCCCTAAATTTTGAGTTGAACTTTCATTTTTATTTCAATTTATGACTTCTAACATATTGGTTTACATAAAAATTCCTACTTATTGATTTGATTGCATTTTTGGAGTACATATTTTGAAAAGATTCATTGACTGCGTTACTTTCTGATCTATGTTTAACTTTTACTAGTACAGGTAAATACTATTGTATATATTATTAAAGAAAAAAATTTTGAACTAAATTTAAATGTTAACTGACTTTGAGAATGGTTGGTTGAAATATCACCCCAAACAGATAGATCTTGAATTGATGAATCTTGGGGATGATTATCAATCTATGAACCAATAAAAATAAGCAATGAATGTAAAAGAACTTTTTAAACTTTATTACACGTATTATAAATAAATTATACAATAATTTATACATAATTTATATCATAATCAGTATAATATGATACATACACACACATACAAGGCTGTGCAATGGCATACAGCAATCGCTTAAGGTGTCTGGGCTTCAAATACCTCTTTCAGATTTTTCAAATTGGTTTTTATTACTTTATTGCTAAATACTTTTACAATTTTGACTTTATATGCACTAATTGTATAGTAATGGCAGATGTTTGTAATTTAATTTATTAAAATTATTATAATTTATTCAAGAATCATTAAAATCAAATCTAAACTATTCTAATTGCAGTATTGATGAACCAACAAATAAAAATTTTGCAATCAAAGTTCAATGTAAATGAGTGTAATATAGTTAAATCATCTAATGAATATTCTAAAGTTTTAATATTAAATTTAGAAGAATGTCAAAATGCGGTTTATCAGACTTTAATGAATACCCTATAAAGGTTTTAAAGTCTACTTTAAATAAAAAATGAGGTCACTATTCTAAAAACATCAAAATATCTCAAAATTTTAGAGCTAACAGTAGATAAAGAGGAAACAGTGTTATAATATCACTAAACCTGCAGAATAAAGAACTTTGACAATCAATAAAGCAAATTTTAGTAACAAAAGATCTAATGCAAATAGACAATTTTCCAGTAAACATCAAAAATAAAAAATTTTCCCTTTCTAAAACAATTAAAAATTTCCAAATGGGGAACATGTTGTGTAATCCTGGTTAATTTCATATTCTGCAATAATCTTTAAAAAATTAGTATTTTCAATAACATGCAATAGCCAGAATGCTAATGGTAGTCTCAATTTTAAAACTTATCATTTAAATATATGAATCATCGCAAATTTATTTTTGAAATTGGAAAGAGTTAAAAAAAAACACTGTAAATGCTACTCTACAAAAAATTTAATTAAAAAAAAAATAAATCTATGTTTGTTGGGTATTACATCCTTTTAAATTAGTTATTAACAATGCATGATTAGCTTTGGAGAAATTTGCTAGCCTTTTTCCAGTAGACTTATGTATTTTTTTCATCATTTCATTTACCGGTGTCATATTTAAAAACAGCAAAAAATTTCTTAAAACCATTTTGATTCTACTAATATTTTAATTTCATTAAGATATTAACAATTACGTTGTCACTTAAATGAATGTCAACAATTACGATGTAATTACGACATTTAAATGAATGTCAACATTCATTTGAATGAATGTCAACATTCATTTAAATGAATGTCAACATTCATTTAAATGACATTCATTTAAATGACAGAAAAAACAATCAGACAAAATATGAACCCTAAGCATTAGCAAATGTTTCTTACTTTAAGTTTATTTGTAGCCTGATAATGTGATACAACATTTTGTTGAAAGTAAACATTGTATCAAAAAATAATATGATCTTCAAAAATTACTAATTTGCAAAAATATTTTAAAAGAATTTTTGATTTTTAAACAATTAGCATGAGAATAAACATTTTATAAAACCCATCAATGAAACAAAGAAAATAAGTATTTGAGATGGAAAGTAAATTTCTAGGTGATTTATCTACTTAAATTTGTAAAATGAAAAGTAATTTAGATATAGAATCTAATGGCCGGCCTATTGTAATTATAAATAATGTAACTTTAATATCTGCAATTTTATAGTTTGTCTAGAAATATTTTTAACTTTTCCGATACCAGTTGCTTCTCGGAAAAGCAGTTTTTCCATATTAAAAATTATAAAAAAATACTTAAGGCTGCCAGTGAGTCAAGAAAGATTTTAAAGGTCTTGCTACGATTTTAACACAAAATTTGCTATACCTTGAATTTGGCAACTTAATCAACAGTTTAAAAGGGAACTAGAAAGTTAACTTTACAGCTTAAAAGGAAACTATAACAGCTTTTAAAACAGCTTAAAAGGAAACTAGCAAGTTAACTTTAAATAAAAGTATATTCACAATATAGTACAAATGCAAAACTTCCTAAATATTTGTCTAATTTATTCTATTAAAAATCATGAATTACATTTTTGTTACTTCAATATACTTTTAACTACAATGAGTATTTTTTGTCAATAATTTAACAGAAATTTTTAACCAAATCCATGTACCCTCTGTCTCATGACAGAGGGTACTTTAATTTATTATTGTCAAAAAATCTCTTAATGGCTCTGTGGTTATTATATGTTATGTTACATATATTTATTATAACAAACATGTACAAATAACAATAAATTGAATACATAAAACAAATTATTATTCTTTTTAGTGCCAGATTAATAATCAGTCTTGTTATACAGGTTAGTATTTTTATTTCGGGAACTTTTACTCATAACAAGTTGGTGGCCTTCATAATTTGTCTATTTGGCTCCTTGGATATAAGCGCCTTGTAAGTATGCCTACTCCAGATAACAAAATATTACTGCACAGCCTTGCAAATACACACACTCAGATTTATATATATATATATATATATATATATATATATATATATATATATATATATATATATATATATATATATATATATATATATATATATATATATATATATATATATATATATATATATATATATATATATATATATATATATATAGTTGGTTGATATAGGTGCCGGACATTGGTGATCCTCAGACTATATTCAAGACAAATCAGAGAGGGGCAAATAACCATTGTTTATTTTTTCATATTAACTAAACAATTATTAGTTGCCCCCTTAGCCTGGAGGTCCTAATGGCCAGTACCCATTTGACCCCTGTATTTATACTATGCATTATATATATATATATATATATATATATATATATATATATATATATATATATATATATATATATATATATATATATATATATATATATATATAAATATATATATATATATATATATATATATATATATATATATATATATATATATATATATATATATATATTAGGGTGCATCAAACGCCCCATACTTTCAAAAATTGATTTGTCCCTATTCTTAAAACTTTCTATTGGTACAAGACACTCTATTAAATTTTATCAAAATTGAATGAGATTTAGGGGGGGCCACCTCAAGTCTGAAACTTGCGACGAGACCATAAACAGAAGTAAAAAAAGTTTTTCAAATGTATGTCATGTTGGGTCTCAAAAGAAGCAAAATTTTATTAAAAAAATTTCAAAAACAATAAAACTTTTATTTAATATTTATTATAAGTTTTATTGCATAAAAATTATTTTTAAACAAAAAATTAAAAAAAGCCATTTTTTCATGGTTTTTGGTCAAAATTTTTTTTCAAGGTATTTTTAACAAAAAATTATAACTATTTTTGAAATTTTTTATAAAGTTTCGCTTCTTTTGAGACCCAACATGACATACATTTGAAAAACTTTTTTTTCTTCTGTTTAGGGTCTCGTTGCAAGTTTCAGACTAAATGTGGCCCCCCTAAATCTCATTCAATTTTGAAAAAATTTAACAGTGTCTCGTGAGAACCAGCAGATGGTTTTAAGAATAGAGACAGATTAAATTTTGAAAGTATGGGGCGTTTGATGTACCCTAATATATATATATATATATATATATATATATATATATATATATATATATATATATATATATATATATATATATATATATATATATATATATATATATATATATTAATTTCATTATAATCATTCTCATATTAATATAATTAATTTAAGAATGGTATAAGATTTATAAACAATATTTTTCTGATTATTAAAAACTGAGTTTTAAATTTTGATATTTATTTTAGAGATTTTAGTTGAGAAGGAAAGATTGTTCCATGTTTTTAAGATTGTTCCATGTTTTTAAGTTCTATGAATTACAGGCATTACAAGGAATTACAGCAAATGATAAACAGCACAATATTTTGGTAACTTAAAATTGTTAGCAAATCTTAGAAAATAGATACAATTCACTTTTTAATAAAAAAGGTTAGTGAATGTAAGAGGAAGGTTATTGCAAAGTTGGTTCCAAACAAATCAGCAATTTGAAAGTTGATTAAGGTTACGTACTTTTAAAAATAAAGGATTTTAGAGTTTGAATTAGTATTATATATATACGATTATATATAAATTATATAAAGATTTTAAAAAACTTACTACATATAATTTATGTTATTAAATACATACTTGTAAATGTTTTAATAGTGTCTGTGTCATTTGCTGCTGTTGTCTTTGTTGTAACTGTTGCTGTTGTCTTTGAGCAAGTTTTTGTTTTTGTTGTTGCTGAACTTGTTGCAGTTGTTGAACTTTTTGCTGCTGTTGAACCTGTTGCATGCGCAACAACTGAGCTTGTTCTTGTCGATAATTAGTTAACATTTGATTCTAATTTATAAATTAACTAAAGACCATATATTACAAATATTATCAACAATAACATAAATAGTTATTTAATATAAAACTGAAACACAATAGTTTCTACGCTGAGTGTTTTCTCAAAAATTTACTAATATCAGATTTTGCAACAGTTCTCTCTGAAAGAGGCATAAATAGCACTCCAAACAAAGTTTGTTAGAACTTTCTTAAAACTTAGAAAATTGTAGATCTTACTTAATATAGAAATTTCTTGATTTGTGGTTTTATTAATATAAATACAAAGAATTGTAACTCAATTACTTTTTCTTTTTATAAATAAAACTTTTAAAGGAATGCAGTTAAGATTTATAACTTCCTTAAATTTTTGCATGTAGGAATTAAGCTTATTGCCATTTCTAAAGTATGCTATAGATTGGGCCCTTTGCAGAGAAACTTGCTACAACAACTTTTATTTAATAAAAACTATTGCTTACTGTTATAGGAGGGATTTGATTTTTCAATGTAAATGGAATTCTGCCCCAAAACCTAATAACTTGTTCTAAAACAAAACAGTCAAAGTTATTTTACACTGTATTTCAACCAATAAACAATTTTTTATCAAAGTTATTTTACACTGTGTTTCAACCAATAAAGACTCATCAGAAATGCCATACAATCATTTCTGATGAATCTTTATTGATGAAGCAGTTCAAAATAAAAATGTTGTTAAATAATTTGATATACTACTAATATATATACATATATATATATATATCAGGCTTTCCCAGGAAAGGCGTGCGATCGCACGCCTTGTTTGTCCACGCATAGAATAAGTTTTTCAGAAAACGTGACCGCGGCAATATTTCGTGTGAAAGCGGAAATTATTCTCAGAGAATAAAAAATAATATTAAAAAAAGGAAACGAAGTCTAAACAAAGTATAAAATTGAAATTGGATGTAAGAAAAACATTTTGATAATAAAAAAAAAAATTAAAAAAAAATAAAAATTCTTGTAACAAAAAAAAAAAAAGTCTTGAATATTTTTTTCAAACGTTTTATACTGTTTTTGTTTGCATTTTTAAGGGTTGCTATTTTCAGCTACGAAATTTGATATAAGTCAAGGGAAAGACGACAATAAGTCGTAAAGTTTTCACGAAAAAAAAAGACTTGATACGTAATTTATTCACGAACTTTATCAGACAATGTATTAAAAAACTGATTCATTATTTCTGCTAGACAATTTGGTTAAACTTTTTCATTTACTCTAGTTTTTACGAAAGTTTATGTAAAGGCGTTGACTTTATTCCCCAATACTTTGACAAAAAAATAAGTTGCTGTTTTAATTATTAAATATATTATTTCAGATTTTAAACATAACAAAATTTTAATGTGAAAAAAGTTCTTTCTCAACTGATTATACTGAGTCAATGCTCGTCTTTTATTACGTTGAAATTATTCAATTGCATAATTTTGTAATTACGAAAGAAGTTAAAAAAATAATTGCATTGCTTCTGTTGTCATTGTTACGAAAACAGTTCCTTCGGGACATTATTATATATTAACACTCGTTCACAATGTCAATTAATGATTGCAAAATAAACAACTCAATCGTTTGACAATAAAATTTTCTTTCGTTTAAAAAAAACAACAACATATTTTACTAATAAATAGCAATCGTTTTCGTGTTTTCTTGCGTATCAATACATTCAAACATTTAAATCAATACACTTAAACATTTAAATGTATTTACGAAACATTTAAAAATTGTTTATAGTTCTATCGTGAATTTTAAAGTATTACTGACTGATAAAAGTCATAAACAAATTTACATTGAAAGGTCCTTTTATTTTCTTTAAACATTAATCTTTTTCTCTTTGATTTGATTTTTCTTATTGATTTGATTTTTTATAGCTAAAATAACTACCACCCTAAAAAAATAAATAAATAAAATGTAGGTAAACTTTTTTTTAATAATATACATTAATTTTCTAATTTTAAAGCACAAACAGATGTCTGTTATTTACTTTAAGATTGCTTGCATTTTTGCGGTATTTTCGTTTAGCTTTGTTTTGGCACGAATTCTTGAAACGCATAATAATAAAACATGGTCAGTTAGTCAGAAAAATTTATTCTATGCGTGGACAAACAAGGCGTGCGACCGCACGCCTTTCCTGGGAAAGCCTGATATATATATATATATATATATATATATATATATATATATATATATATATATATATATATATATATATATACGTTTATATATATATATATATATACGTTTATATATATATATATATATATATATATATATATATATATATTATATATATATATATATATATATATATATATTAGTAGTATATCAAAGTATATACATATATATGTATATATATTGAAGATATTTATATACGTATATTGAATATATATATATATATATATATATATATATATATATCTATATTCACATATATATATATACATATATATATATATATATATATATATATATATATATATATATATATATATATATATATATATATATATATATGTATATATATATATATATATATATATATATATATATATATATATATATATATATATATATATTAGTAGTATATCAAATTATATACATATATATATGTATATATATTGAATATATATATATATGTATATTGAATATATATATATATATCTATATTCAAATATATATATATATATACATATATATACATATATATACATATATATATATATATATATATTATATATATATATATATATATATATATATATATATATATATATATATATATATATACATACACACAACTATATACAACTATAAATGCATATTTTTTACTATATACAACTATAAATGCATATTTTATTCTGTGCTGTCACACTGAAATAACCTGGTGCCAGGGGCTTCAGTACATACATCAACTATCTTATAGTCTATATATATATATATATATATATATATATATATATATATATATATATATATATATATATATATATATATATATATATATATATATATATATATATATATATTCAATTGTAGTAGAGATATATACACATTGTTTAGCTGTAGTAAATTTATATATATATATGTATGTATACATTTATATATACACATATTTTAGCTGTAGTAAATATATATACATGTAAATTTCATATATAATTTAATATATATAGTGTAGTTTATTTTACTAAATAAAAAGTAATTACACTAGTATTTAAACAAAGTTATTTCTGTATTTTGAAAAATATTGCATCATGTCTTAGATTATTATAATTTATGCTTTAAATTATTATAATTTAAGAATTCAAAATGCTTACCTAATGGTAAAAAGGTTGCATCACAAATTCTTCTAACTAAAAGCCCCATAGTAAAGTAACCTGCTTTAAACCACTCAAGCATTTCCTCATTGGAAAAGGGACCTTAATTAATTAAAAGTAACCAAAAAATACTGAAAAATTCTAAATGAAAATCAAAGCAACTATTTGTTAGAAATCTCTAAGAAAAAAATTTATATGCTACCTTGAATCTCCCCCTGCGGATCAAGATAAATCCAGTTTTGTGTGCTATCAGTTCCAGGTTCAGCTTTCTTAGCAAATACAATGCTAGGATCATTTACAGTAGAACTATTTTTTAAACTATCTTGATACTTATCATCTTCTGATTCATAATCAAGATTTTCAACCATGTCTTTAATATGATCCAGGCTAAACTCAAAATCTGCATCTTGATTGCCAGGTTCACTATTTTGCGTACTATTATTTTGCTGGGATTTTTTAACTGACTCCTCCTTTTTGGTGGAGTTCTTAATATCTTTATCAGTATTTAATTTTATTGTTTTATCATCTTTTTTAAATTCTCTAACATTATTAAAAAACTCCTTAGTAGTATCATTTAAAGTGTTATTTATTACTGTGTCGCTATTTTGAGTGCATGAAAGAGTAACTTCAGAAGGGTGGGAAAAAGTAGCAGATTTATCAACAAGAACAGTGTCAGTAGATGCATCCGAGGCTAAATCGTTAGACGAGTTTTTATTTGCTAAAACTGTGATTGGAGATGTAGACTTATTAGTATCATTTTTTATAACAATTTTTTCTTGACTTGAAGTGCCCTAACAAAAAAAAATTATGTAACTAAAAATTTCTTAGCAAGTTTGATTATAGCAAATTTATTAAATTAACTATAACTACAATGAATATTCCTGATCACTATATTATCTAAACACATTACAATCTGCTTCGTAACAATTTTTAATACTAAAGTATTCAGTCAAAGTACTTCTCAATATAAAAATATTATTTACAATATCATTTACAAAGATTCATAACACAAAAATTTTGTTACAGAAATTCTCAATACAAAAGATTTCTGTCACAGAGATTCTTTATACAAAAGCAGTCAGAAAATTTGCACTGAACTTTCTTAGTAGAAAAAAGTTTAATGAAAAAGACAATATAAAGCTTTAAAACAATATAAATAAACAAGCGATCAATAAAGTTAATACCAATAAAGTAACTAAACTGAACTTGATATATATATATATATATATATATATATATACATATATATATATATATATATATATATATATATATATATATATATATATATATATATATATATATATATATATATATATATGAAAAAGTACCAATGGTACAAGCACTTACATACGGCAAGTAACTTCTATTATAGAAACTTGGTGTATATAATAATACATATTATATACACATATATTAGCATATTATATACACCAAACTCATATAAATATATATAAATATATTTATATAAATAAATACGGAGTATCTTTGTCTGAATAAGTTAGTGTGTATTACAATCACGAATGCATTTTGCTTTTTGGGGCTTATCAGCATAATGATGAGATACTAAAGGTGTGTAAACACACCAGCTAACTTTCCTGGTAGAATGATATATATATATATATATATATATATATATATATATATATATATATATACATATATATATATATATATATATATATATATATATATATATATAGTGCTTCTAGAAAGTATATATATACAGTGCTTAATAAGTATGTATGTATATATATACAGTGCTTCTAGAAAGTATTAGCGCACTCATTTTTTTTTTACCTCAGAGAACTTTAAAGGATTGTAATTCAAAAACAATAAAAGACTGATTGATAATTTTTTTTTAACTAATTCATAAAATTATGCAGAATTACTAATTGTAAAATGTATAAAAGTATTTCTTTATTATTATCTTGAATTTAATTAAAATACAATAAGAGTGATAAAAAAAATAATAAAAAAGTGTGCAAAAGTATTAGTGCACTTACAGTTTTTCAAAGATTTTAGGAAAGTTTAATATTTTATGTGACCACCTTTGTTTTTAAGGCATGCCAAGAATCTACGCGGCATAGAACCTATAAGTTTTTTGATTAGTTCTTGTGGCATGGTATTCCACAACGCTTGCATTTGCGTTTTGAGCTGCACCAAATTAGTGGGCCTGCATTTTTGTAATTTGCAGTCCATCCAACTCCAAAGATTCTCAATAGGATTCAAATCAGGTGAGCGAGTGGGCCAAGGCATCAGGTTCAACCGTTTTTCATTCATGTATTGCTTAATTGAGCGTGCTGTGTGGCAAGGAGCGTTATCTTGTTGAAATTGCCAGGTTGAGTCAGCTTTGAAAATGTCCATTGATGGCTTTAAATAACCTTCTAATATCTCTCTATATCGATGTTGATTAAGGCGATCAGTGTAAGGATGCGCCAGGCCATTGCTAGATCCAGCAATACAGCCCCAAATACCAATTGAACCTCCTCCTCCTTGAACTCTTGACATGATAAAACGAGGATTATATTTTTCGTTTTTGTATCTTCTCACGACAACTCTTTTTTTGCGACTGATAAGTTCAAAATTTGACTCGTCTGAGAAAATTACTTTTCTCCATTGCTCTACAGTCCATGCAGCTCTCTCTTTGCACCATTTTCTTCGCTTGAGACGGTCTTTGATGCTTAGTAGTGGCTTCTTTGTTGCAAGGTATGAATTGAGTTTGTTTTTTTTCATCAGCTTGCTAATTGTTGATCAGCTTACTTGATGTGCACCCATCGCTGTATTCAAGTCTGAGGCGATTTCAGCTATACTCATGTTCGGGTTGCGTCTAGCAAGCATAATAGCTTTATTTTTGTCCCTTTCTGACATTTTTTTGGGACGAACAGAGCGATTTTTGCCTTCGACTGATCAAAACTCATTATAGTTTTTTAGCGTTGTTCTAACGCTGCATTCACTGATTTCAAGTTGACGTCCAATTTCTCGATTGCTGAGACCACTATTGTGCAGGCCAACAACTTGCCGCTTTGTTTCAATTGATATGCTCTTTAAACCCATATTTTTGTTGTTCAAATTTTAAAGTTTTAACTAACTGTATTTCAAATGATATATCTGTCACTTCAACTTATGCTTTTTATATTTTTTATTGACTATTATTAATCACCAGAGAGTAATTAACAAAAATTTACCAAAAAAGTTTTTCTCAAAGGAATTAAACAATTGTACTAATACATTTTAAATCAGTGCGCTAATACTTTTGCACGCGTAATTTCACATATTTTTCAGAGTAGTCATTAAACTTCTAATTAATTCGTCAAAAAAACAGGTAGTTGGACAAATATTTGACATTCTAATTAAATTTAATTGGTTTTACCTTTCATTAAAAAAAAACTAGTTTGTAATTAAAATTAGCACTGTATATGTATATATATATATATATATATATATAGTATATATATGTATATGTATATATATATATATATATGTATATATATATATATATATATATATATATATATATATATATATATATATATATATATATATATGTATATATATATATATATATATATATATATATATATATATATATATATATATATATATATATATATATATATATATATATATATATATATATATATATAGAAGCACTGTATATGTATATATATATATATATATATATATATATATATATATATATATATATATATATATATATAGAAGCACTGTATATGTATATATATATATATATATATATATATATATATATATATATATATATATATATATATATATATATATATATATATAAAATATATATAATATATATAATATATATAATATATATATATATATATATATATATATATATATAAATATATATAATATATATAATATATATAATATATATATATATATATATATATATATATATATATATATATATATATATATATATATATATATATATATATATATATATATATATATATATATATATATATATATATATATATATATATATATATATATATATATATATAGTCTTGCATGGTAGTCGAAAAGTTTTTTTCCCGTTAATTGTAGTTAAAAAAAAAAATTTAAATGATAGACTGCCTGCCATAACCAAACCCTCAGTCGATGTAGCAGCACTCCCTTGCGAATCAGGCTATTTGTCAGTCGATGTAGCAGCACTCCCTTGCGAGTCAGACTATAAGATAGTTGATGTAGCAACACTCCGCGCATGTTTTAAAAATATATTTTAATAAAACAAAAACAAAAACACCAACTAAAAAAAACTTTCTAGTCATTATTATTGCAGGTTTTTATTTAAAAAAATAAAATTTAATGTACTTTTGCATTAATTTAATTGCTTTGACATTTCGATGACAATAAAATGTAGCTTAATTGTCAAAGTAGCAAAATTATAGTTGAAAGAGACTTTTTTTACATTAAAAGTCTCTTTTGACTATATATATATATATATATATATATATATATATATATATATATATATATATATATATATATATATATATGAATATATATATATATGTGTATGTGTGTGTACGCGTGCGTGTGTGTGTGTATATATAGAGATTTACATATCTATCTAGCAGTATTAGATACAAGTACTAACAGTACTACATACAACTTACATTTTTATCATTATCTGTGATTTCTTTTTCTTGCTAAATTGTAAAACATATAACAAGAAAATAAATGAGTAAAAAAAAAACAACATTAAAATCAAATTCATAAAATTTATAAGCTGTAATTATAATTGATTATTATTCTTTTTTTAAAGGTCTTTTAATTGAAGTTTCAAATCAAGTAATATTAAAGGTCTTTTAATTGAAGTTTCAAATCAAGTAATATTAAATGATTGATGTAGAACATATAATGTAAATGGTTTTATTAATGCAACTGCAACATTATAAATTAACATAACTAAAATAAGCTGATGTAAAATAATAAATGTATAAATAATAATATAATAAATAATGTATAAATAATAATATAATAAATAATGTATAAATATTAATATAATAAATGATGTATAAATAATAATATAATAAATAATGTATTAACACTCTTTACATATTTAGATATTTTTTACTTTAATAATATAATTAATATTTTTTACTTTTTTATAATTTCAAATAACATTTTAAAGTCTGAATGAATTTAAATAATTTTACGATTAAAATTTTTTTTTCCTACTCTATCTAATAAAATACTCACAGCAATCTCAAGAAATTAGGTTAGTAAAGAAATTAATCTATATTTTATGAATAATTCTAAATTCTAAATTAAATATGTCAAAATAGCAAAATATTTAATTAAAATATGACATTAAAGTAGAACATTAAAACAAACTATTGATAGTATTGATTTTAAAGATTATATTAACTCATGTAACATGTAAAAAACAAAAGTTTTTTTTTACATAAACATTAACCACAGGTAAAAATCTTTTTTATACTTTTTTTGGCCAGGCGAGGATAAGATTAACTTAACTCAAAACCTGGCAACTATTTCAAACCATGCTGTACAGTATTTTAATTTTTTTGACTTTTTGGTTAGATCCTAATGAATATATGTATGTACATGCAATACAAAAATATAAAAACCTCTTTAAACGAGCAATACTGCCCTGAAGAATCAAAACTTCCTTGAACAGCATCATCAAAACTATCATCATTGCACCATTCAGGTAAGCTTGAACTGCCATCTTTTTCATGACTAGAAGATTTTGTCCATGACTTTGTTGTTTGAGGAACATGCTCATTGTTTGATTGTTGTTGCTGTTCTTTCACTTCTCTCCAGTTACGAGCATTGTCTGTTAAATATTAAAATATGTTTAAAAATTTTTTAATTGATAAAATGTGGTAGAGCGCTTGCTTTAAAAAATATTTTTAAACAAATTTTTAATTGACAAAAAGTGCCGCTTCATAAGCGAGAGGTCCAAGTTTGATACCCATCACATCCCTGGTAGTACCATGCTCAATTTGTTTCTTCGCGCAGCGGCTTTGTTCGTCAAGGTTTGTATTTCAAAGTTATAGAGCTGAGAGATACTTATAACCACAATTAAATAGCCTTGTCACCTATAGTGGTCTTCTCTGCCCTGGGGAGGTAAATTAAAATTTAAAAAAAAAATGAGTTTAAAATTATATTATGTTAATTTATATTAGGAAATACCTGAAATGTTTTTTTTGACTATTGGTTTTGTGACAGACAGTTTACTTCCACCTTGACGCCATCCATCTGCGCCACCATTCTCTTGATTTGGAGAACCAGGATCTTCAGTTGATGTAGGCACATCATTACCATTGGAACGCCAAAATTCATCTGAACGAGGCGATGGTTGGCCCCCGTCACTAGCTATTCGACCCCGAGTAGGTTCATAACTTCGATCTATTAATCAATAAAAAATTGGTATAGTGAATTTCAAATTAAAAGAATTTTAAAAGTAGAAAAAATATATAAAACCAACAACCTACTTGACAATGCATCAAAACTATCTCCTCTTCCGACTGGCCGATGGTATCCTCCTCTGGATTGACTAAAAATTAAAAATATGTATATATATATATATATATATATATATATATATATATATATATATATATATATATATATATATCTATATATCTATATATATATATATCTATATATATATATATATATATATATATATATATATATATATATATATATATATATATATATATATCTATATATATATATATATATATATATATATATATATATATATATATATATATATATATATATATATATATATATATATATATATATATATATATATATATATATATATATATATATATATATATATATATATATATCTCTCTCTCTCTCTCTCTCTCTCTATATATATATATATATATATATATATATATATATATATATATATATATATATATATATATATATATATATAAATATAAATATATATATATATGTGTGTGTGTGTGTGTGTGTGTGTGTGTGTGTGTGTATATACATATATATATATATATAATATATATATATATATGTGTATACATATATATATATATATATATATATATGTGTGTGTGTGTGTGTGTGTGCGCGTGCGTGTGTGTGTATACATATATGTGTATATACATATACACTAGAATAAAAATAAAATCTAGAATTTATAGAACTTTGCATGTTGCATGCTGCTTCAAGTAGAGATTATAATGATCTCCATCATTATTATTACCATTTGAATCTCTATTTACCTACTGCCTCCTAAAGTAGAGGAATTTGGTAAATAATCATTATGAGGTAAAAGAGCAATAGAAAGATAAAAATCATACGTATGACCTACAATTTCTTCACTTATTTTTATTCTGAAGTCACTTCATGAAGTAGAGGAATTTGACAAATCATCACTGTGAGGAACTAGAGCAATAGAAGGATAAAAATCATACGTATAACCCACTATTTCTTCACTCATTCTCACTCAGAAATTACTTTATAAGCAGAAAAGTACTGCAATGTAATATCCATAGACATAACAAAAGCATCTAGTGATACTTTGCAACCATACCTAATAATTATTTGTTTTAAAATATAACATGTTTAAACTATTCTAAAAGATAACATGTAAAAAATAGGTATATCCAAAATATAGGAAAATATTGACAATAACATGCCTAAATGCTTATAATCTGCCATTTGCCATAAATCATTTATTGCTCAAAAAATATGTCTTTAAAAAGAGCAGATGAAGCTGTTCTTATAAACAATGCCATATAATGCAAAACAAAATCAGCCACAATTTTCATCTATTCTTTTGTTTGTGTCCGTATGTAAGCTGGTTACTTAACAAGTTTTTTGCAATCATCTTTGAAAAAAAACTTCATAATCAAGTTTTGAAAACATAATAGCTTCACTTTTCTAATTTTTAAAAATTTAACAATTCTGAAGAATTTATAAGAATTTTACAAGAATGTTTCTTTAACATAAATTTTTACATTAGGCTTCCGAAATTTTTATGTACTAATTGATTTATCAATTAAGATTTAAAGGACTTTTATAATGGTAAAAAAATAATTTGTTTTCTTTATTACTTTTTGTTGTTTCTAAAAAAAAAAATTGTTGTGAGTAAAATTATCATTTTAAAACACAAAGTGTGCAGGGCATAACAATTGGTTTATTAGTTGACCAATGTTCAGTAGTAAAAATAACAATCATCATAAAAAAATAATTTAAAAATAATATATTTGATAAAATAAATATAAATGTACATGTATTAAAAAGTTGTTTCTTTATTGTTATACACAATGACTAAACGCACACGCCACTGATGTTTTAATTTTAATTTTTTGTTTTTGGAATTTGAATATGACTTTTTAAATATTTCTTTATGATTCAAATTTACATATTTAAATTGACTTTCATATGGTAGGTAGAAGACACAAAAAAAATTTTTTTGTTTGTTTATTTTAATCTTTATTTTCATCTGAAGCCTTTGGTAATCTATCATTTTAAATAATCTTTCAATTAATAAAATAATTAAAGAAATAATTAAAGAAATAATTAATAAATCTTTTAATCTTTTAACCAATAAAATAATAATAATAAATAAAATAATTTAATTAATTAAATAACCTTTATCTAATAAAGTGCCTAAAAATGTAAAGGCTTATGGTTGTTCATATGTAACATTGAAGTGGTAGGGGAATGGGTTAGAACTTTGTGACAAAGGGAAAAAAGATGCCACAAAAAGCAAGACAGTTTATGAGCAGCCCCTTAGTTGCAAAATCCAAATAACTATAAAATAAATTCTGCAAATATTATTTTTAATCTAACAGTTAAAAGAACTATGCTCAGGTTTCTTTTATACAATAATTTTTAAAAATGAACAGCTTCTAGGCCTTTTCTTTCTTACAAGTATTTTCAGGTACTTTATTAATTTAAGATTTGTTTTTTAAAAATATATATATAGGCACACAATAAATTTTTGCATACATTTGAAGCATGAATATCAGTCAAGCCATCTGCCTATCAAATATACTTTATCCCATTTATGTCTCAACTGAATATATTATAACAAAATAAAATAACTATGTAAGTAAATATTAATGAAATGAATTAACCCAAGAAAGTATAGATATTTAAAGTATAGGTAAAAAGTGTTTGACACTGTTTAGTCAATAACTCTAAAACACTTGTCAAACTTTCAAGTCGTATATATAGCAAAAATTAAATATATTTTGAAAAATATCTTTAAGAACTTGTTAAAAATATCACTTGGGCACACTTGAGCTCTGCCTGATTCTTAAAAATGGTAGTTTTTAATCAAAAAAGAAACATATATTATTTTTTTCTTACTATTGCAATACCCATAGTTATTGAAAGGTCAATATCTATTTTTGAAAATAAACTTTTACTGTAAACCCAGGGCTATAGCCACTACTTCTTTTTTTGGTTAGAGTTTGAAACTAAGCCTTAAAGTTTATTTTTGACATCAAATCAAAGCTTAGTTACATTTTTCATTTTGCCAAATATGACATCTGAGAATTGAAATGCTTCATAAACTGAAATGCAGCGAAAACGTTCTATTATAATTGCAAATTTAAAAAAGAAAAATCCAAGCTTGAACATAAATTAAATTGTTTAAAAAAATCTCTGCAATGAATGCACCATTCATTTAACAACCTCTATGGTGAACACACCATTTATTAAACAACCTTTATAGTGAACACACATTCATTAAACAGACCAGATATTTTGAAACAAAAAAACAAAAACAAGCAGAATCGTGAGCATAATAGGTTTATGAACAGAAATAAAATGCTGAAGTTACAAAAAAGCTAAAAAACGTTTTTTGTTAATATGACTAATTTGTTTTGGTAAGTTTAATCAACTCTAAACTTATTTTCTAAGTTTTATTTAAAATACAAAAACAACTTGTCACTTAGGGATCTTTTTAAATTTTATGAAAACAACTTGGCACTTAGAGATCTTTTTAAACACTACTACACAATTATATAAAAACTTGATTATTTACAACCAACAAGATTGACCAGTTAAGAGCTACCAAAAAACTTTGACAAATATTAAAAAGAAAAATGTAAAAACTATATTAATACAAATATTCATTATTATTTAAAAGTTATATAGAAATATAAGTTATATTGAAAAAAATGATAGTGAATAAATAAATAAAAAATACATTACATAACAATAATAATAAAATTCTTTATTGTAAAGTAAAAAAAAAATATGATAAATTTAATAATGATTCCTGCTATTGTGAAATTTATTTATTTTACCTACAAACTAAAAATGTAAATTTCCCTTCAAAGTAAATAAATCTGATTGTGCAACTCTAAAATAGAATTTAAACGAAATGTTTTTGTGCTGCTCCAAATAAAAGTGAAATTTTTTTTTTGGGTTTATATCAGTATCATATAAACCATCCAGACTTATTAAACTTTCTCCATTGACCAACACTCCAATACAGATTCATGTTTTTGGTGGTTCTGGACAGTTTTGTTAACTTTCTATTAGATAGTTTGTTTTTAATGTTATTTTTCTCTGGAGTGTCTGTGACAATCATACATTTCAATTATTTGTCTTTTTATTTTTCCAGCTTTTGAAATCCTCTAAAATGTTCAGGAATGATAAAAAAATCTGACAATGCAAATTATGCAGATGCAAATTCTGATATACTTAATTATGACAGTTTATTAACAACATTAATCTTTATCTTAATATTTTGCTGTGTCGATTTTGTTATTTCATTTCTTATTTAATATTTTACTGTTTGTTAAAATCAGTCATGTCACTTAACACTGTAAAACTACAGTCACTTAACACTGTAAACTTTTGTTGCATAGTAACATCAATATCAATTTTAATATTTTGCGTTTTAACATTTTGCAACTGAATGAATTGACGCAGCAGAGTGTACATAGAACGACTGACTTAAAAAGGGGAACATGCATAGAGTGTGCATACATAACTTATTAAATAAAGAGAACATGCAGGGAGTGTATGTACATCAGTGTTAAGGTACCAGTTATAATTAGGATTGCCAACCCTTATTAAAAACCCCAGTCGATGTATCAGGCCTTGTTAAGAATCGTTACGCAGCTCGCATTTTACCAGCAAAAAGGCGATTTGCCTACCCGTTCAGCAGTTTTGCGTTGCGCAAAAACTTTTATCTTTTAGAATATTTAAATTATCATTTGATATCGTTTATGTGACGTTTATTCAGAGGAAAATAAAGTCGTAAGTAAAAGCATTTAACCGCAATTGTAAACTAATAGATTTTTTGTTAAAGAAAAATTTTTTAAATTATTTTTATTGTTGTTGATGTTAAAAATTAGTTTAAAAAAAATAAGTGTTTTAAGTTTAAACTTTTTATCATACTTAATATTAAGTTTTATATTTCATAAGTTTAAAAACATTCAAATTAAAAAAAAAAAAAAAAATTTCAATTTATTTTATTAAACTTAAATATTTTTTTATTAATCATAGTTTTTAGTAAATAAATTTATTAAATTTAATTAAAATTCTTTTATTTAATTTTAAAACAGAGCATTTTAAAATTTTTTAATTTTAAAATGCTCCGTTTTACAATTTTTTTTTAATGATAAAATTTCCAAAGTAAAAAAAGATTTAATAAATTTAATTCAAGTAACTTTAAAATGTTCGTATTACATACAACTTTATTTTAATTTCAGTTAAGTTTCAGGTAAGTTCCAGTTCCAAATACTGGTCTGAATAATGCGCTGAACAAAAGCGCATTATTTTCCAGCTTTTATTTTTCCATTATTTTACAGTTTCATTCATTATTTACAGAAGAGCATTATTCATTTTATAACTACAAGTTAATAAATGACGTCAATACTTTTAAACTCGAGTTATAAATGTTATGTTTGGGTTTTCCCTTTGCCGTTTGCCGAAGAATTTTTTTTTATAAAACAAACCAAGGACGTATTAATAATAATACGTCCTTGAACAAACCAAAATTCAAACCTATTAAAAATAACACTATCAGTAAATAAACTCTTTAAAAGCCCAATTTATCTTTATTTTATTTTAAAAACAAAACTAGTACTTGAGCTATAAATATAAGATACATAAATTTCAAAATTATAATGATATTTGTTAAAAACAAATTCTGCTTATAACAATTTAAAACCGAAAACACTATTTTTTTTTTTGGATTGAGTAAAAAAATAGTAAAAACACATAAGGTTTCACTGTACATAAAAATAAAATATTTTAATGGAAATAAAAAAAAAACAAAGCCAAAAAGCAGTAAATTTCGTTTCTTTACAATATTTATTTTTCAAAACCAGTTAGTGCAAACGTTTTTTTAAAAAGGGGAAAACCCAATCTATGCGTTTAGTTGTAAGTACATTTAAATCCCTTTAAGAAAATCAACCATAAACAAGTGTTAAATTTAAATTATTAAAAAAAATATATATTTAAAAAAATAACCATAAAACGAATGTTTGATAGCAAAAAAATTAAGTTTAAATAAGTATAAGATTTTAATACAAGAAGACTTTTTTTTAATCAACATTAAAACTTTAGTTTTTTTTTTATAACAATATTGTTCAATTTAAAGCTATTTCGTTTCAAAGACTAACAATAGTTTTTAATGTCATTTTAAATTTAATTACAATGAAGTAAAAACGCAACTGACGTAATTTAACTTTTTACAATGTAAATATCTTTATTGAGTAAAGTTACATTTATTCACGTTTCGCTTTTCCGTTACGCAGAGAAATCTCGTAACAAGGCCTGATGTATGTACACAATTTGCATGAAGAGCAAATAAGCAACAAAAGTAATGAAAAACAAACACTTTATTAGTTAAAACAACTGATTCTTTTCTTGCAAAATTTGCAGCTTTAAAAAAAAATTTGATTTGTTTACACAATCTTTTTACCAAAGGTTTTATCATTTATACAGCAAAAACAAATTATTTTTTTTGAAAACTTGAAAAACAGATTTGTTTTCAAAAAACAACAAAAAAAAACAAAACAAAAAAAAAGCAACAAACAAGCCAACAAAAATTTTATTTAGTTTTTATCTCAGAATCATTATCTTAGTATTAGATCTAAATGCCCTGAAGAAATATAAACTTACTTTTCTGTCCAAGGTTTCTGTGGGTAAGTACTTTCATCAGAAGTAGATGAAGCTCTATTTAAAGGATAATCTGCACCACGTCCACGACCTAAGAATGTGAATTTTGAAAAACTTTTTAACAAATCTTAATGATTTAAGTATTGACAATAAATTAATGACAACACTTCTTTGTTCAATAAATTATTTTGTATTAGAAATTAATAGAAAATATGATTTATAAAATTTTTTTGTTAAAAGTTAAAACAAAAAACTGTAAAGATTTTTATCTTTTAAAAATTATTTTGAATGACAGCTGACTTATTTTTTTTTCAAATACTGATAAAAACATTTTGAAATGCAAATGTTGTGTTGCTGCATTTTATTTTTTCATTTTCAAAAAAAAATGTTTCATATATAAAAGGTTTTTAATTTATAATTATTAAATGTGTTTATTTTAATTGCATTTTAATGGTTCCTAGCAGATATGCAACACTTTTTAACAAATTTGTAATTTAAATTCAAAAAAATTAAATTAATTATGAATTTAGAGCTAACTATTTCTAAGATCATTTAAACAATTATAAATTCTTTTGAAATAATTTGAAAAACAATAAAACAAATACATAACTTAAGTAATCCTTTTTATTAACATTTTATGCCAAAACATAAAAAAGAATAACCTTAATTGGCTCTGCAATAATATTAAAATTAATAAATTAAAGATTGGTTAACTTTAAACACATTTCACATTTGCACAATCAAATTTACAATAAAACTTCACATTTCTTCAATACAAATACCACTTTTACCCTTAAACTAGTTAATCATACACATCTTACCTCGACCTCTTATTGCACCTCGGCCACGTAAAACAGGTGTACCTCTTCCTGTCAGCTTTAGTACTACAGCACTGTTCACACCTCCCATATGACATCGCTTTTTTTTTAAAAAAAAAAGAAAAACAATAAAGTTAATGTAAAGAATTAAGTGTGAATAAAATGACAAAAATTTAAAAAAATAAAAAACAAAAATTCCAACAAATATGTTTGAGTTTGTTCAAATTATGTGTTTATATTTTAAAAGATGAATGAAAGATTTAGCTAACATAAAGTAATGTTATCATATATTTAAAAAAACAACAACTTATATTCTCATCTTTTCAAAATGCTTTAAAAGGTATACAGAGATAAGTCTGGTACGATTAGCCCAATTTGGTACAACAATACTCAGTTTGGTAATACATATTTAAACAAATTTTTCAAATATAATAAAAACAATGCTATAAAAAAAACCTTTATGAGCAAATATTTAATATGAATTTTTTTTTATCGTTACAATCATACTATTAATAATATTTTGATTTATGTGTGAAACAAATTTATAACTGACAAATAAAATTTGTTTTATTCTATCAAACATTTTGATAAGGTAATTATATAAGTTGCTCTCACCCCCTTAAATGAGTTCTATATAATTCAAAAACTCTAGGCTTAAAAATTAAAAAATATATATATATTTTTTAAGGGGTTGTTCTGAAACACCCTTAAGACCATTAAAGAATATATATTTTTTAAATGCTCTTAAACACCCTTAAAGACTTTTAAACATCAGGTGAGTCCCTAATAATATTGAAAGAAATGTCTTCAAAAGTATGTCAACCTGGTACTCAAAAAAAGTGAAATTATATAAAATTTTCAAATAATTTTTTATAAAGCATTTCTTATGTTTAAGAAAAAGAAAAAAACGTAAAAAAAAGTAAAACACTGTGTCTACCTCTTTACCAACTAGACTTTGTCTCCCCTATGTATATTCAATATCATTTACAGTTAGTAAACATATATTTGAAAAATTACGGTGCTTTTTTTAAAAACGTAACGATTGTAATTTTAAAAATTAATTTGATTTTTTTACAACCAAAATATATATTTTTCAAAGTCAAAAAATTATAAAGTGAGATGTTTTGATGAAGTTTACCACTAAATTTGGTAAAAAAAATAAACAAATAACAGATTAGACTCTGTTTTATCAGAATTGGAAGCATTTCATTGAGTAATCAAAATGTTATGAAAACTTTTAAAAAGCTAGGCGCTTTTTGGTTTAAAAAGCGCCTATGGCCATTTAATAGATTGTTTACCCTCAATTTTTTACTACTTCCAGACAAACTAGGGCCCTAAATTATTCAGCATTTGTGTAGTCCTAATGAACCTGTGTTAAATTTATTTCCAGGGCAGATGACCGAGGGTCCAAAGGGCTGGAGCCCTATTTATTTTCCACAAAAAAAAAGATTTTTTTTTTCCGAAATAGTTGCTGGATATCGGACATTGTCTGGCACTTGTCCAGTAAAAAATGACATCTATTAGTCTTTTGTCTGACCCATATTTTGTGTGCATTTACTTTAGATGCCTAAGCATTAGTTTTTTTTAAGCAGCCTGGTTTTTATTAGTTATATTAAAACATTGCAATTAATTACTAATTTAAATTTATATTTCAGTGTTTGTTTCATTTTTTGTCCGATGGTTTTTATAAATTTCTAACAAATATTTTAGGTTTAAAAATCCCTTCGTAAACTTTTTTTATTAAAATTTTAATGTAATAGTTTTTTTAATGAATACTTTTTATTACATTAAATTTGAGTTACGTTACGCATCGTGTGTTTATGCGCTTAAGTTTTTCGCTATTAAAAGTGTTTATAAAAGTTATCATTGAAAAAGTTCGAAAAAATAAACAATATTAATAAATGTAATTATTTATAACATTCTTTGATAATTTAAATAAAATGGGTTTATTGTAAACAATCAATAGAATTTGTTACTTTATTTAATAAAGTAATAAGTAAACATAATAATTTATGTGTTAAATATATTTATAATAATTTACAAAGCATTTTGCATAGTATAGTATTTTTTTAAAAATGTAATGTAAATATACTTTCTCTATCAAATTTTAGATTTTTGAGCTTAGATTTTTTCTTTTTCTTTGAAATTTTTTTTTAGATAAAATTTTTTTAAATGATCTTTTTACTTTCATTTTGAAAGGCCTTAAGTTGCGCCATTTTAAAAGGCCTTAAGTTGTCAAAACAAACTGCCATGGTCAAGTTGAAAAAACAAAATGTTTTAAGCGAGGTCAGAGATGGTGTTTGATTGCATTTCTTTAAGTTTTATCTGACATGTCCGCCAAACTTGAGTATTTATGGGACTAATTATTTCGAAAAAGAGTTTGTTATTTCGATCCCTGTATATATACAGAGCTCGAATAATGTGATGGCAATATGTGGAAATGCTTCTGATCTTTAGCATTTTTAGCAAAAAATATTCATTTTGATCTTGAATTATAATATAAATAATAATTATAAAATCATATTATTTTTATTATTATTAAAAATTATGATTTAAACTTTAATATCTTAATTCATTTAACAAACCATCAAATAAAACTAAAATAAGGTATGATAAAGTACAATATAATTATTAAAAAACAACCACTAATCACAACAGTCTAAAGAAATTTAGCAGTGATCAAAATTTTAAATCATGAAATAATAAATAAAATACTTTTATATCTTCTTTAAATCTCATTCAATATTTTCTTATAAATTCTTATATATTTTTTTAAAATTAAACGTTTGTAACTTTTTAAAATTAAACGCTTGTAACTTTTTTGCAGATATGTATACAAAATTAAAGACAAGGAGTTTAAAATATATAAAAACTAATTTAATCTAGTTATTTTAAAACAAAACAAACAAAACCTAATGACTTTAAAATATATCTATTTTATTATTATTTTTATTACCAATTAATTAGTTTCTAATTTAAAACATTAAAGCTTTTAAATAAGTTATTACTCCAATTTTTCCCTAAAAAAAATCTTTTTTGATGTTTTATACAATACAAAAATAGCTTTAGCAAAATTTTTTATTGGTTAATTATTAAATTAAATTTTTTGGACCTTTGGTAATTATTATTTTTTTCTTTTAAATTACCTGGTTTTTATTAAATTATTAAATTACCTTGTGTTTAAAAAAACACCAGGTAATTTAAGAATTATAATAATTAAAAATATGTATATTTTGACTGTTATTATTTTTGCAGTAGTAAATTTATTGATTTGTTTTTTGAATAATTTTTGCAATATGATAAATTGACTGTTTCATTAAAACAGTGTTCACGGATTATAATAAACTGAGAACTCTTTGCAATCACTTAATTCGATATATATATTATATATTATATATTATATATTATATATTATATATTATATATTATATATATATATATATATATATATATATATATATATATATATAATATATATATATATATATATATATATATATTATATATTATATATTATATATTATATATTATATATTATATATATATATATATATATATATATATATATATATATACTTTTTTGAAAAATTAAAATTATTATGTCTTGTGAAATTTTTTTTATTCTAAAAGTTTAATTAGTTGATTCTTCATGCCAGGTATAGTAAAAATTTTAATTGTAATAATAAATGTTTTTTTAGCAATAAAGACAAAAAAAAAACCTAACGTTTTTTTTTTATATAATTTTTATTTAATAATTTAGTAATTAAATAATAAATAAAAAACAATATTCAAAAGTTAAAATATAATCGTTCTGATAAAATAGTTGTTCTAATAAAACAACAATAAATAAAAAACTGTTATGCATCAAATAGTTGTTTTATAAAAACGAACGATTTTAATTATTTTGTTATGTTCATTCATTTCTCTTCTTCTTTGTGAATGAAAATGTTATCATATAGAAAAATTTCTGTAATCTACAATTCTACAATTATTAACAATTAGGAGAGTGACAAATCATTTAAAAAGATTTAGGTTATTTCTTTATTCAAGCATCTTGACGTTTGCATAAAAATTTTGCAATGAACGTCGCAATTTGCAAGATCTATTTGAGTATTAATATATAGTCTTACTAAAATAATGGAATAAAATATAACATTTTTTATTGTGTTTCTTTAGTTAATTCATTTTTCTTGTGCTTTCTAAATTAAATTAAATTTTCAAAATTTAATTTAAGATATAAGAATATAGTGACAATTATATTGAAATCTTTTTTTAAATAAACCTTGTACCAAATAGTTTTATTCTTTTGTTTTTCAACTGTTTAGACTAAAATTTTAATTATTTCTATCGTTTCCATTCAATTTACTATCATACTTTTTTATAAACTCATAATTGATTTTATATTCTTTTTAGAAATTAGGAGTAAATATGTTATGTTGATGTGATATGTAAGTTAAAATTTGAGATAATCTAATTTTTAACTTCTAAGAGACTTAGTACAAATACATTTTTTAAGATTCTGGAATATATACTTCTTAAATATATACTTCTTAAATATTCTTATATAAATATAGGCGTGTATAAAAAAAAGTGTTATATGAATTAAAAAACAAATCTTTTTAACATTTATTTATGAATAGAATCAATAGAAGGGTATTAAATACAGTACTATTTTATATATCAGGTTTATTGCTGTAAAATATATTTAAAAGTATTAAATATAGTGCAAGTATAAAAATGAAAATAAAATATGAAGAAATTATATAGTATTATTTTTATCATACAAAAAAAATATATATAGTAAAAATTATTTATAAATATTCATTTTAAATAAATAAAATATCTTCAATTTCAAAATCGAACGCATTTTCTTTTTTTTCACTTGCATCACTTTCACAATATTAGCATATTAAATAAACTGCCGCCTTTTTCAAAAAAAAACCAAGAAGTTAACACGAAAGAATACAGGGAAAAACGCACTACTTTAAACAAGTATGACAAACTAGTTTATCAATCAATTAAGCGAAATGTGTGATTATACAAAAAAAAAATTATCTAACTAACAGTTCTTATTGTATAAGTTTAAAATTTTCCAAAGCATAATGAAAACCCAGACTATTATGTTAAATTCATTTGCAATACGTGTATTTTGCCTGCTTTTTAACATAAGAATTATTTATCTTTTAACATAACACATAATAAGACGTAACTGTTATGGTTGTTTGAAATAACTTGTTTTAGTTTTATTTTTCATTTTTACATCAGAAAATTCAAAAATTATTTTAGCACATCTTGAATGAAATAGTTTCATTTTTAACTAGTAAAACAAACAGTTTTACAAAATTATATCATTTGAGAAGTTTTCAAAAGAATAACTAAATAAAAACAAAAATATTTAACTTTATTTTTACCAAAAATTTATATTTTGCATGGGCTTCATTTTGCAAGTGTAAACTGATTTGCACAGGGGTGGAGGCAGACGCAGACTATAGCCCGCCATTCCTGACGAAGCCTGTATATATACACATACATATATTAACGAAGAAAAAACAACTTTTCCTATGGTACTTTAAGTTTATACAGCAATCATCAGCCATTAAATACAAGTAATAAGCAATATATATATATATATATATATATATATATATATATATATATATATATATATATATATATATATATATATTTATATATATATATATATTTATATATATATATATTTATATATATATATATATATATATTTATATATATATATATATATATATATATATATATATATATATATATATATATATATATATATATATATATATATATATATATATACATATATATATCACTTATTACTTGTTTTGCTTATAGATTTTTTTTTTTGGTTTATTCTTGACAATATTTTTAAAGTTATCTTTACTTTGTTAATGTTAAAATAAGTGGGGCAAGGCACTTGGTGCTCCAGCCCCATGGATCCTCTAATTGTCTGCCCTGGAAATAACTTTTAACACAGGTTCATTAGAACTACACAAATGCTGAATGTTTCAGGGCCCTAGTTTGCCTGGAAGGTAGTGAAAAATCTAAAGACTACGCTATAAAAAAATGCCCCACCCTTCAGTAAAACCTGAAATGTATGGTGACCTGGCATGGGTAAATAGACATGGAATTATCCATCAGTAACTTGAGCTATTTTAAACTCAGCCAAATGAGAATATTATAGATATTATTTAAATATGAGAGATATTATATTTAAAAAATTGCACTAATAGAATAGTAGTTTATTACAACCACTGCATAAATTATGATTTTAAAAGTTTTATCTTTATCTTATACCTCTTATCATTTAATATTTATTCAACCTATACATATGTATATTTGTTTTAAGTATGTTAAACTTTTGTATTTACTGTAGATTTATTTACTTGTGTGTTCTGTTTTGTTTTTATTACATTTCAATTTCATGCGTGGTGTCTAAATTATCTTTTTTTTTTTTTTACTACATGCTTTACTATAATATGTTTGTTTTGTTTAAAACATGTGTTTAATAACATGTCTGATGTTATACTGAAATAGCCTGCTGTCAGGGGCTTCAGTACATACACCAACTATCTTATAGCCTGCTGGCGCAAAAGAGTGCTGCTACATCAATTTAGGGTTTGGGGTTTGGTAGCAATGTTTTTTTTTCATTATTCTTTGTTTTTTCTGTAAAAACAGTATACTATAAAGATAAACAAAACGAGTAAGCTATTGCTGAAATTAACTATTTGCCACACTATTTCTTTTTTTATGTTTTGGACACTATTCATTAAATTCATTTGTAACACTATTCCTTTTTTTTGCGACATTAGGCCTTTTTAATATATTCGACACTATTCTGAAGTTCATTTTTTGACACTATTCCTGTCACCCTATAAACTTTGTAAATAATTTATTTAATATATAAATTAAATAAATACTATATAAACTTGAATTTATTTAAATATTATTCATAAATTTTAATGACATTCAAAATAGTAGGAGTGTCTATTTTAACAGAGAAAATGAAAAAAAAAAAAAAAAAAAAAAAAAAAAAAAAAAAAAAAAAAAAAGTAAGGATATAATTCTGAAGAAATGAAAAAAAAAGATTTAATAAAATAACAAAGGAAAAATAATGGGAAATTATGAATAAAACAATTGAAGAAAAAAAAAAGAAAAAACTAAAAAATAAGTACTAATTAAAGGGATCCCAAAGTGCTGAGACAAGTTGTGTTTATTTTAAAGAGAATGATAAAAAAAAAATAATTGGGAAGAATTTTTTCAAGTAAAACAAAATAATAAATGTATACCAACAAAAATAAACTTTGTTGTTTTACTCGAAGGTCGCCGTTTCCACAGCAACTATTCTCTGAAAGTCTTTAAAATATACGCTGCAATCTACAGACTTAATAATTTATTCAAGCGTGTTTAATTCCAAAGAGTTTTAGTAAATAATGTCATTGTAGAATTTTTTTTGAACCAATATTATTTGTTATTGATTTATTTGCTTTTTAAAATAGCTTTTATCAATTGTATATAAAAAAAATCATATTAATCAAAATAAGAGTTTCTTATTTTATAAAATAAGAATAAGAAATAAACATAAGAATTGTTTTTTTATAGAGCGCGAGAACCAAATAAAATTAAGATATTTATATTACACTCTTAAACAAAATAAATATATAAAAAAGATGTTGATCACCTTTTATATTTTCTGAATCTTTTTTTCTTTTTATGTAAACAATGTGAACTTTTTTTTAGTTTATCCAAGTCGTTTATTGCTATGACGTTTTTGTTCTGCTATCGAAATGATATTTTACAAATTCTTAAATTTTTAATTAATAAAGAATTTCGGTAAACATCATCATTTATTAGAGATATTTGCTGAATTCTTAAATTTTTAGTTAAAAAATATTTATAGATTTTACACTTAACAAATTTACAGATAGTTTTTAATTAATTAAAGCAATAAATAATGTTTTATGTTTTATATATTAAATAATGTTTTATGGCAATAACTAAAGTACGGAGAATAAAAATGTTGCAGCACGCTTTAAAAAATATATTGTCTTTAATACTTTTCAATTTATATCACGTTTGGCAGGTCTTTTATATTAACCTGTCTCTTAAAATTACAAATCAAAAAACTACCAAAATTGACAATAAAAAGTTTTTCATTTAATGATTTCAATTTAAAAATTTACTCGATACATGTTTTACAAAATAAATTTCATTAAATATATTCTTGCATGATTAAATAAGAATTTTAAGAATACTTGTAAACGATGAAAAGTTGAAGTGAAGTAAGTGAAGTAAGTGAAGAAGTAAGTGCTGTTAATTATACTTTCATAAGGTTAACTTATTCGCTACCAGCCGTTTTAACAAAAAATTTTACGCTACAACCAAAAAAATTTTCTGAATAAAATTTGAAAGACATTGACAACTAATTAAAGTTTGAGTTGTAAATCTTATTGAAAGCATAGCAAACTATATAACAATAAACAGCTAAACAAATGAACTTTTTATTTAAATAAATAAAAATTTTTAACAAGCATCATTGAACAATAAGAAATGCAAAGTGCTTAAAACTATTGTTTTATAAATAGTAATTAAAACATTTCCAAAACAAAACTCATTTAATGTATAAAGAGAATGTTTTTCGAGACGAAAAAAAACGTTTTTAATTACTTAGCTAAATACCTATTCGTTTCTACGAGTTAAATTTTACAGTGTTAACGCTGCTTTATTTACAACTAAATTTAAAGAAGTTTTTTTAAGTCAAGATTACTGAAGATTTTTTAACTTTGTCAAGTGATAACTTTTTATAATAACACAATATGGTTTATCTGTTCTTGATTATGTAGAGAATTAAACCTTTAGAACAAACAAATTTTATGTGTCTAGAGAAAAAATTTATGTACAAAACAAGATAAATTGTGAAGCGTACTCTACCAGCAGTTTGGGGTAAAAATTTGAAAAAATCAAAAGCCACTGTCAGCGGCCTGCAGTAATGTTAAATAATACAAAATATTTTTTTAACAGAATCATAATAACGATGATAATCATTTAATAACAATAAATATAACTCAAAAAATAATTCATAGCAATAGACGAGATTAAAATATCTGAAATGTCTTATATTTTTAATGCGAGCTTTGCGAAAATTAGAAAATAAAATAACTAAAGAAATTCTACCGTAATTTATGATAAAAATTTTTGTATATATAATAAGTAACTAAACATGTTCTTTAGTGTCTATAATAATAATTTTAAAAAATTCTATAATTTGATTAAAAAAAAAAGAATTTTTAGATTTCTTAACGAAATTCTACAATGATGTCATTTACTAAAACTCTTTGAAATTAAACGCGCTTGAATAAATTATTTAACTTTTTATTTTATAACTCTCTTTAAAATAAACACAAATTTTCTAGGCACTTTGGGATCCCTTTAAAAGAAAAACCATTTAAATGGTTTTTATTTTATTTTATATATTCTTTCTCATTATATTTAACACATTAAAAATACATTTTTAATGTTTTAAATATAATGGGTGCTAATTATTTCAAAGTAAGTCAAAGTGTGTGATAGAAACAACCTGGTTACAAAAGTCTTAATAAGAAAATCAGCAACCAAAAATTGTTTTTGTAAAAATTAGCTATGAAATAATAATAATAATAAAAAAAAAAACTTTTATCAGCATTTTGTGTATATGATATATAAATTTATACTTAAATTCTTAGAAATTCATTTTTAAACCTGAATAAATCTTCATAGATAGCTGATGACAAAAGTCCTTAGAGAAGAATAAAAAGATATTCAAAAAATTTTAGGCAGAAAAAATTGATTTAAAATTCAATATTTTTGCATATATCATGTAGGAAACATGATAGTTCTACAAACCTTTTGCTGTTTTTACAATATAAAAACATGATTGTAACAAAACTATTACCTCTTCTTCCTCCGAAACAGGAATAAATGCTAGTGGCTGAACAGGACGTTTATTTATTATATCTTCAAATTCTTTAAGCCCAAGTGGTAAATCGTAGTTATCACTAAGCAATGCCAGCATTTCTTCACGCCCATATCGAAATTCTGCCAATTTATATTTACGTGGAGGTGGTGTGTTAGGAGGAGCAGCAACATTATTATCACCACTGGATAGATCACGCACCCTTTAAAAAATGTATAAATTTAAATAATTTTGTAAAACTTAGCGTTAAATGCCTTGTTTTACATTTAAAAAATTTAACGCATTAGCTTATTGTAAACTTGATATAAAGTTCTCTTTATTTTTTTTTAAGAAATAATACTTAAACTACCCCAATATAATAAATTACACCTAAATGAGTTCAATTAAAAAAATAACTCTATTATAAAAATATATTATGGAAAGTTTTTTTTTTTTAATATTAACTAAATTAAATAATATATTTTTAAAAAATATTTAATATAACTTTATTTCTTCCTTATTTTGACATTTGTATAAATGAATTAAAATAAACAATTTTTTAAACTACACTTTTTTAAATTTGTAATTGCGGCTTTTCAACTAATAACTTTATTTTTTAAAAGTTAGTAAGAAATAAAAAGATAACTTATTGCAAAAGTAAAAACTGTATTTAATTATTTTACCTGCAACTATTTTAGGTTTCCAAATACCATTTATTAAAAATATATATTTTTATTTTCAATTGTCTTATGAAAACAAGTTAAAAGTTAAAAAAAAGATTGAGGTACACTTAGAACACGTTTACAAAGAATTTAACTTTTACTTAAAAAAAAAAAAGAAAGAAAAATGCTGTAAAAAATAAACTAATTTTTTTTTAAAAAGTAAAATTTTATCTTTAAACAATATTTAGTTATATTTTGAAATCCAATTTATTTTGAAATTTATTTCTTTGAACTTAATTTAATCTGAATTTATTTCTTTTGTATTGAACATAATTGTCATTCAAACTTTAGTAATAACACATACATAAATTGTGAGCTGTGTAATGCTTCAAAACAAAACCTGACTTTGATGTGATTAATGTGATATTATGCTTATTTTATTCAGAAAATATTAGGTCATAAAAAAATTAATTTTGCCGCAATTATGAATTTTTTTGTTAAAGAAAATGATTGTTTAATACTTATATTTTTTAATTAAAAGATTTTAAATTAAATATGATCTTGAAAAATTAAAGTTAAAATTTGATTTGAAGGAAGGTAAATTAGTAAAATGTAGAATGTAAAATTTTGTTTCAAAGGAATATAAAATAGTTTCACAATATTTATTAATGAAGAAATATTTTTTTTATTTCATGTTAACAAATTCATTACATAAAACATAAGTCTCTCCATCATAGATTGAGATTATGAGTAAAAGCTGAAAAACTTTTTTATTGTTTTAAGAAGTGAGAAGTGTTTTTGTTAACAAGAAATTTTATACCATTTGTACAAATGGAACTAAATTTTTATGTTTCTTATTAATTCAATATCGTGTAAAGTTATTTGATTTAAGTTTTATTTATAAACATAAATTATGTTAAAGAATATTTTATTGGTAACTGATAAAATTTATCTAAAAATTGTTTATAATCTTTGTTTAAATAGTTCACTAAATACCTAAAAAAAAAAAAACAAAAAAAAAATAAATTACTCTATAAACAATTCTAATAAACAAACAAAATATTATGTTTGTATAAAATTGTTTTATAAGTAAATCCAATAATATTAATAATAATATTTAATAATAATTTAATAATAATAATAATTAATTATAATATTTGTGTTTGCACAGAACTCACGGCAGTCACAATACCCAAAAAAGAACCGCAGCACTTTTTGTATAAGAAAATATGAACTTGCGTGTATGCAAGTATATGCAAGTTAGATATAATTTATGTAAACTTCAAACTACATAATGTTAAAACATATATCAAGTTTTACAGTTTTTATCAAGCTTTACAGTTTTTTTTTTTACTTTAAAATTGCATTGCAGCAACATCTCTTTAATTTTGATTTATAGCATTTATTTGCCATTTTATAAAGTTTTATGTTTATCAAATAGTGTTAAAAAATTTATGAAGCAATACACCTTATTAGCTGAAGTGCTTTGATGGCTTTCTTCAATAAAAGAAAGCAGTTATAATGTTCAAGCATGGTTTCTTTTAAAGTAATTGCAAAAGCATTCCTTTCTTAAAAAACGGTTTCAAGTATCAATTTACGAGATTATTCATATTTCAGGTGTATATTCGTAGTTTTTTGTCATCCCTATAAATTTTTGGGAATATTGAAAATTATCTATGGACCACCATACGGTTCACTAATCATTTAGAAACAGATTTTATAGATAACAGTAAAGGTCAGTCATCTCGAAAAGCTTAAACATATTGCAGGCCTTGTTTTAAAACGCTACGCCTAGAGCGATTTACGTTACGCCTAGAGGGATTTTTGTACGCAATTTTTACGTACGCGTAGAGCTGTTTTGGTTAAGCTACTTTTTATCATTTTTTATCTTTTAAATTAGCGGTAACATAAAAGAAGTAATTAATTTTTAAAAAAACCACATTAGCTTTTAAACGATATGTAAAGATATTTATTACAAAAAAGAATTTATGTTAAAAATAATTGTTGTAACTTTTCATTGCGATATATCTTACCTTTTTATAGCAATTAATTTTAGGATAAACTTTTTATCCAAATATTTAGCAACATGAAAAATTGTTCGTCAACCCTTAACTACAAATTTTTGCAATGTTTTTAATAAAAAGTAGTAATTTTTTAAAGTTTTCAGTAAAAAATCTATATTCGATATTTATTAATACAGAATATAAATGTTTTTTGTATAGAGTTTTTACTGAATTTATGATAAAAAACATTTGCAAAATTTGTAATTAAGGATTGACATTTTTTTTAATATCTCAAAAAATGTCTTAATATTTTTGTTATCACGATAACAAAAATATCAAGACATTTTTTCGAGATATTAAAAAAAAATGTGCCAATGAATGAACAATCCATTTTTATTTTTCTAAAAATTACTTCGTTAATTATTACTCTTTGCTTTTCTTATTAGTTAAAGGTATATAGATACCTTTACCTTTAAGTTATGTAGGGGGAGGGGGCCAGCACAGAAAAAAAAAAATTACCTGTTACTTGCAATTTTTGGATGAAGACAATTTGTTAAATTTCTTCTACATGCGATTCAATAAGTTTTTTTCATAAATCAAGTTATATTATAAGGTAAAGAAATCATAAGTAGACTACAACATCCGCTAATGGCACTAATATTACGTTGAATATATTTATATAACGGAGGTTTCATTATGCACGTGCACATTACAGATTCCGTTAAATAAATACTAAGGCACGTTTTAGTTTAATGACAGTCTCTATTTTTTACTAATGAATATGTATTTTTCTTTATAAAACAAGACCAACTAGTATATAAAAACCTTGTATATTTCTATTCTCACTAAATTGTTTAAAGTTCGAATATGGATTGTATTTTGAAGGACAAAAAATTTACTTTAAAAACTTTTAAATCTTGGGACTTTGCCGATGCGATGATCACAGAAAAAGAGAAGACTTACGGTATTAAAATCAAATGTAAGTTATGTGATTTTCATCAAAATAAAATATTTTCCAAAAACAATGGTGCCGTAAGGGCAGCTGCCCTACGGTTTATAAATAACACAAGTCATGTTAAAATATTTTAACATGTTACTATATTTTAATTAAGTTAATATATAAATAAAAATAAAAATATAGTTCAATAAATAAATTAAATTTGTTCTTAACAAAGATTATCTCATATCTATTCTTTTTTTATTTTATTAAGTTAAATTGCCTACTAACGAAAAAAAAAAGAGTTTTGTAATTATACGTAGAATGTTTAAATAATTAACATGGGATTTTGTTTATCAATGTTAATATTTTTTGTTTACTCCAGAAATTTTTAAAAATAAAAAAAAATCTTTATTATTTTTTATTCAATAACGATTTATAAACAATAATTATTCAAAAACAAATTTCAGAAATAATTAAAAAATATATATATATATATATATATATATATATATATATATATATATATATATATATATATATTTTAACTAAAATTAATAATAAAATAACAATTGAAAACATTATCATAACTTTTCATAATAAATTTATATTTAAAACGTTTATAGTTGAGTTAATTGTTAAATTGAACTAGTTAGCGGTTATTTATTTATTGCGGTAGTTAAAAAACACTTAACATCTATAAAAAAAAATAAAGATAATTTTATGACGTCAAAATCGCATTAAGCTAATGCATTAAGCACTTTTTTATTTAAAACAAGGCCTGATATTGTTAAATATAATCAAAATATTTAAATTAAAATATGCATTAATTATACAAGTATTATTATAAAATAATCAGAATACTTACCATTTCGGACCAAATGTTAAACTGGACATTTTTCTAAAACAAATTTAAAAAAAATATATTAATTTGGATCTAGAATTTATTCCGCAACTAAATCTATTATATACTTAAAGAAAAAAACTCAAATATAAAAAAAAATAAAATAAAATTGCTGTTTGCTATCAAACTTTAAATTCAAAATGAAATCTGTATTTTACTAATATTCTGTTAGTAATGAATTACGCTTAAATAAAACTAGATTTATATAATCTAATATAGAATCTAAAAATTTAAACAGAGCTTATAAAAAACATTTTAGAAAAGTTAAAACATTTGAAAAAATATTTAAACCTATATATTTAAGAAATAGAAATACATTTGTGATTGGATATTTAATTTTTATGGCTTTAGACACCAACTTTTTGCTGAAAAAATAACAGCAAATAAAGACTAATATTTAATTAAATATTTGTAAAAATATGTCAGATTATGCTGTAGTAGGCTGTCATAAAAGAACCAAGAAAAGACTTGTTCTGAAATGCTTTCTAAGAAATAAAAAACAGCAATTTAGACTTCTAAAGTAAAATGAATGAACTGGATACTTTTAAACAAGAGTTTTTATATGAAGTGGGCATAAAAAATAAATAAATTATGTAATTCATTCAGAAATGATTCATGGTAGAATCCATGCAATTGCATAATGTCTGAGCAATTACTTTATTTATGTATACTTTAATGCCA